GGCAATTGCCATCATATTCAGAGAAATCCACAATTTACCATGACATGCCTCCTTCTTTTACTTTCAATTGCTGAATGCAGAAGGGAATCACATTAATACTCAGGGCTTCAAATTCATGCATGCTTGGCTGCAGACATATTCAGTCTTGGCCTTCAAGGAAATTTCTGCTCCAGGCTTTCTTATTTCTTCTGTCTCTTCAGCCTTTGCTTATGTAAACTCTTGCTGCTGTTTCCCTTAGGGAATTCTTCATTCTTCCAAGTAGACATTAGGAAAGCCATGTTTTTTTGGGGGGGGGTTGGGGTGGCGGGGAGAAACTCATACTTGTTAGGGAAATCCAAAGCACCTCGGGGATGGCAAAGGAAGGATTTAATCCACTTCACCACACTATTTTGCCTATGAAAATCATTTCCCACCTTGAAGCTACTAATTGATTCACAAGAAAAAAAATAATGGCAGGTTTCTTTCCAGATAAAGCAGTCACTTACACATCTTCAAAAATGAAGTAATGAGTGATGACAAAGAGGACACTGATTTGCATAAAACATGTATAGGTGAATTTTTATGTGGCAATGCAATTTTAAAAATAAGTACTAGAACATATTCAAATAGAAATACGGTTCTTCTCTCCACGGTGGGGAAGACTGACTAGGTGACGTGACCAGGTGACTTGTATATCTGTTCTGTCTACTGCCCAAATACTAATAGTTGATGAGTTCAAGATCACTTTTCTTAGGGGCTGTTATCTTTAAACCTGGACTTGATACCCTCCAGATATTTTGGACTATAATCCCTATCAGCCCCATTGAGCACATGCAATGATAAGGGATTATAGGAGTTGCAGTGAAAAATACCTGGAGGGTACCAGATTGCCTACTCTTGAAGTGAAGTGAATGCCTTCAAACAGAGGGCTGTCCTCATGGTCACCCCATCTCCAGAAAAAAAGCAGCTTTGGGAAGCTTATCATGGATTTCCTGATGCTATGCCTAGTTTGGCCCTAAAACTGCACATATACAGCCTAAGAATTAAATCCCCATGAGTTCTGTGGAATTTGTTCCTCAGGAGTAAGTTTGAGACCCAACAGTGCAATTTTAAGCATGCGTACTCAGAAGTAAGTCCTGCTGCTGTCAGCATGCCTTACTCTTAGGTAAGCATGCCCAGGCTTGTGCAGGTAAACTATTTGTGACCATTTCCAGCTTGAGTTTCTGTTCCACTGCTTATTTCTGTCTCTATGTCTGCTGTCCTCCTTGCATGTTCTATCCGCTGCTGCTTAGTTGTGTTTTTCTGCCTGTTCTCCTCCTAATGAGTCAATAGAGCATTTGTTGGCCCTGCAGTCTGGAAACCTGCCCTCAGGTCCATCTTGACTCAAGAATTCCTTGACTGGCCATCAGAAAGTCATTTTGTTAGCCTAAGCTCTTAGTATATACAATGGGTATATTGATGGAGGTGCAGATGGAGAAAAGTAGGGATTGTAAAATGCCACACTTCAACAATTTTATATGGGAGTGCAAAGCCTGCCTGCTGTCAGGTAAGAGGCATTATCATACTATTCGCCAGAAGGTCCTTTAATCAGTTTTGCACTCTCCTCTTTGCTTGTTTCGCCTCTCTTGAGGCTTTCATATTAGAGTGATCCTATGTTGGCTGGGGAGACATCACTTCTCCAGTTGTTGCCGCTTAACTGTTAAAATGGAGCTGTAGTCTAAAACATCTAGGTGGCATCAGGTTGGGGAAGGCTGAGTCAGGGAAGTATTGGAGGCTTTGGAATGTGAAACTGAATGTATGTGAAGGTGCCACCAATCAAGTCCATCTGGTCCATGCTCCCTGGCCATTGGTCCATCTGTGGCGGTGAGGGCGACGAAGAAGAAATTCTTCTCCACTTCCATTGCCTCCTCACAGTGCCATCCAGCAGAGCCCTTTCAAGTGGTACATGGGCTGGTACATCCCGGCCCTAAGAAAGATCCCGTACCACCCTCGATGGCCTGCTGTGATGACTTTGCCCGGCACTTTAAGGAGAAATTCGCTCACATGAGCTGGACTCCACTAGTGATTCAGATCCTCTAGCGGAGGTGCCAGTGACTCCGTCTGGTCCGATATTATTGGATGAATTTCAGTTATTATAGCCTGATGATGTGGACAAGGTGCTTGGGCAAGTACGTCCCACCACCTCTTTACTTGACCTTGTCCATCGTAGCTCTGGTTGAACTGTGGAATGAGGAAATGGCCAGAGCTATTGACACGATCACTCCTAAGCATCCTCTCCCATCTGGCAGAGCCCGTTCATCCCCTTGGTATTCATGATCGAGCCTATGCTGTGGCGGTGAGGACGGTGAAGAAGAAATTCTTCTCCACTTCCATTGCCTCCTCAAAGTGCCATCCAGCAAAGCTCTTTTGGGTGGTACAAGGGCTGGTACATCCTGGCCCTAGGAAAGATCCTGTACCACCCTCGATAACCCACTGTGGCAACTTTGCCCAGCACTTTAAGGAGAAAATCGCTCAGATTCGTCACAAGTTGGACTCTACTAGTGATTCAGATTCTCTAGGGGAGGTGCCGATGTTGCCGTCTGGTCACATATTGTTGGATGAGTTTCAGTTGTTGTGGCCTGATGATGTGGACAAGGTGCTTGAACAAGTGCGTTCCACCACCTGTTTACTTGACCCTTGCCTGTCGTGGCTACTGACCGAAGCCAAACACAGGATTGGTGCCTGGATCCTGGAGGTCATCAGCGTCTCTCTGAGGGACGGCCGGGTGCCTGCCCCTCTAAAGGAGGCGGTGGTCAGGCCGGTCCTAAAGAAGGCGTCCCTGGATCCTGAGATGGCCGCCAATTATAGACCGGTGACCAACATCCCATTCTTGGGCAAGGTGTTGGAACGGGTGGTGCCGGGACAACTCCAAGCACTCTTGGATGAGACTGACTATCTGCACCCATTTCAGTCCGGCTTCAGACCCAGGTATAGTACTGGATCTGCCTTGGTCGCCCTGTATGATGACCTGTGCAGGGGGAGAGACAGGGGGAGTGCGTCCTTGTTGGTCCTCCTGGACCTCTCACTGGCTTCCCATCGAAGTCTGGACTCAATTCAAGGTGATGGTTATTACCTATAAAGCCCTTAACGGCTTGGGACAAGGTACCTAGAGGAACGTCTTCTTCCTTATTTGCCCTTCCGCCCCCTGAGATCGGCAGCAGAGGCCCTCCTCCGGGAACCCTCCGTGAAAGACATTAGGAGGCAAAGAACCTGGAGGAGGGCTTTCTCTGCGGTGGTGCCCCGCCTATGGAATGCGCTCCCCAGAGAAGTCCTCCTGCCACTGTCATTATTTGTTTTTCGGCTCCAGGCTAAGACCTTTTTATTTTAACAATATTTTAATAACTTTTAACATCAGCTTTTAGGTTTTAATCTGCAGCCAGGGTGGATCTGGATTTTATTTGCATTTGTATTTATTTGTATTATGCTTTATTTTGTTTTATGTAAGCCGTCCCGAGGCTATGCGATGGGACAGCATACAAATACTCTAAATAAATAAATAAATCTGGCTCACAACTGTCAGTCATATCAGTTTAAGACCTGTATAAGCATTGCTGCCTGGGATCTTTTTAACCAAGATGTGAGGAATGGAAGCTAGAATGTTATACTGCAGGGCTGGACAGGAGGAAGTTTGGATTCTAATGGCAGACTGCTGTAGATCAGTAAGCATTTCTGAATTCCAACACTTTTAACAGCCGTTACAAGACAATAATTCATTCCCACTGCCAAATTAGACTGCTGAATTGAAGAAAGTAGTCAGGAATAGATTTCTGTGGAGCAGGGCTGTGAGCTCATTGGTCTTCAAAACAAATGCTTCTTTCTGTAGCTGCCCAGAGTTACCTCTGCTTCCATTCTATGTGGCTTTTCCACAGAGCCCCAAGTGGTAGGCCTTGGGGTTCTAGTAAAATGCAAAACACATTGCATAGCACTAAGCTTTTCTTCTTCTGACACTGAGGTAAGACACTTTCTGCCTTTAATCCCTCGATCTGACAAAGGTTTTCAAATGGAACCTTGTAGGTGTGGATAAGTAGAGCTTTATACCAGAAAGGGCAATTCTACAACTTTTTCATCAAATACTAGTACAAAGTGAAGTTCTACAGACTTGAGAAGGTGTTGAAGGTACAGTTTTCAGAAAACCCCATGCAGGGATCCCCAGTTTGTTTGGACCTATGGGCATATTTGAAAATTTAAGAAATTGCTGGAGGCACTACTACAAAACATCTAATCAGTGGATCTCCATTTTGGTGTCTGTCACATCTTTGAATCTTTGGCTGCAGCTAATTCAGTTAAAACAAACTTAGTGTTGTGTGCATAAGACATCATACTGAAGGGTTCCATATTTGCATGTTGAGTGTATCCCTGCAGAGTTGCATGTGCCAAAGAGGTCTTATTTCTTCAGTGAGTGGTCATCTTGCCAGTGAAATGACAATTAGGATGCTATTGCCTAGTCCATTGTTGGCAGATTTGGTATGCCATGGGAATTGATATGGCTTGAGTTGATTTAAGTTTGTGGTAGAGCTCTTATTTATTCATTAGATTTATATCCTGCTTTTTTCTTACATAGAACTCAAAGTGGCGTACATCATTCTGCTCCTCCTGCTCTCACTCTTACGCTCACAACAAGAACCGTGTGAGGTAGGTTGGCCTGAGAGTGTATGACTGGCCCAGAGTCAGCCAATTGGCTCCATGGCCAAGCGGGGACTAGAACCCAGATTGCCTGAGTCCCAGTCCTGCACTCTTAACCACTACACCACACTGGCCATAATGTTACTGAGCCCACATTTTCAGCCTTCTAATTTTAATATGTGCATTGACTCTATTTGCCTTGGAGAGGCTTTGAACAGTTGACTCACTGAACTAGAAAATTTGGACACTGTGGCACTTGAACCCCCATTCCTGGAAAGCTCCCATGCTGTGTGTATTTGCAAAGTAACTTCTCTTTTTTTTGCAGGGGTGTTGATGGGTCTTCTCTGCTTCTCCCACAGGGGAGAACTGTGAGCTGAACTCCCGCCTGGGCCGCTGTAGCCCAGGGGTCTGCAAGAATGGCGGCACCTGTGTCAACCTTCTGGTGGGTGGATTCAAGTGCGATTGCCTGTCAGGAGACTACGAGAAGCCCTACTGCCAGATGAGTACCCGCAGCTTCCCAGCCCACTCCTTCCTCACCTTTAAGGGGCTGCGTCAGCGCTTCCATTTCACCATCACCCTCACGTAAGTAGCTGGCCAGGGAGAAAGGGAAATTCAAGGCAGAGCTGTGTTCGTAGTCCTGTTTATGGCCTTTTGCCCTCTTTCAGGAATCCTGCCCGTACTCTGAGGTATGAGACACCAAGATGGCAAACACTAGAATGATTATTGCTGTTATTTTGCTTGATATCTTTTAATTTTTTTAAAAAAATAGTCACATGCACATACCTGATGATATGAAAAGACACACAAATGCAGTATATCAGAAAAACTGTAAAGTTAAAGGTCCAGATGTAAAGCCAAGCAATTCAAACCTCTAACAATTCTAATTCTTCTAATAATACAATATTTAACCAGTCCTAGTACTACTGATAAACACTTCAGGCTTTGAATGTTCAAAGTGCATCACATGAATGATGTTATGTGATTTATACAGCAGGTTTGTAAGATAAACAAGTTTTACTATCCCTATATTATGGAAGAGGAATTAATAGCTCAGCCTGTCCCAACACAGTACCCCTGTGCTGATTTGTTGGACCACAACTTCTATCACCTCCACTCAGCATGCCAGTTTGGCCTTGGAGAAGGCTGAATTAATCTTGTCTTGCACCATCTAATGAATGTGATAATGGCAGAAGCAAGGTGGATTTCTCAATGTGTAGCTCAGGCTGTTATATCACCTGCTATGCTACTCCAGCACTCTTAAAACACCACAACTGAAACATGCAGAAAAGTTCTGATTCAAGGCAAGACTCATCAGGTACTGAGCAGTGAAGCAGAACTAGTTGGGTCCCTGATACTCCTCTTCTGTGGAGCAACAGGGAATAGCTTAGCTCTGCCTTTTCTATCCCACCTTTTTCCTGCTATAATAATCACATAAGATCATGTATACATCACATAAGATCACATAAGACCCTGCGGAAGGAAGCAGGGTGGGTGAAGAAGGGGGCTTATCCATACACAGAAGAAAAGCTGCTCTCTTGGTCATGGATGAGGCTGGGTCCTGAGATCCACATCCCTGCTACTGTCTTCAATCCAAAATTGGCAGTGTGAATTCTGCTGCTGGTACAGTCAGGCAGGTGAATCCCTACTCTTGGAGATAGCAGGGCTGGGTGGGAGGGGATGCCCTCTGATGGCATTTCTCCTGGGGATGGGGCTTGGAGTCAGATCAGGGTGCCCCCTTGGTCTGGATTAGGGTACCTGTATGGGCCAGATATTCTGTTGCCTTGCTCTTCAGCCACGTAAAAATCCATAACTAAATTGAAGTGTATAATCTAAACTCTAAAATGCCTGAGAGAAGGGGAATATCTTCATGTGCAACCAAAAAGATAACAGTGTGGGTGCCAGTGTGTTCTTTTCTCCTTGGGAGAAAGTGTGATTTCACATCTAAGAAAGACCTCTTCCTTGTAGCTATCCACCTAACTTTATCTAGCAAGGTAATGAGGAGAAGGGACTTGGAAGGTGACCTGAACCACATTCCTTTAGATAGTTGTGGTGGAGAACCTGTAGCCCTCCAGATGTTGGTGTATTACAATGCCCATGAACCTTGGCTTTTGGCCATGATGACTGGTGCTGATGGTTGTTGGTCCAAGTACATCTGGAGAGCCCTGATTTAGATATTCTGTTCCCAAGCTGTTTAGGGTTTTAAATTCAGCACCAATACTGTGAATTGGGCATATATATCTCAACAAGTGCATGTCTGTGAAGGGGCCTTCTAGAATAGTACCAGTATCTCAGGCTCAGAGAAATCCCACAAAAATCCTACACATACATTTCTGAGATCCCTGTAGCATTTGTTGCTTGGCATTAAAGTTGCAGCCCTATGCAACTTTAGACAAAAAAGGCCCCAAACTCCCAGCGTGCCCCAGCCAGCCTTTTTTTCCTTTTGATGAGGAACATAATTCTGATGACTAATGAATAAATGAAGGAATAGCAGATCATATATTGTATGACTGGATGGAATCCTGGTTAACCAGTGATGCAGTGAGCCCTTGAAACTGACTCCAGAGGGGACTGTATGTTTGAAAAAGTGGGTGGAGCCTCTCTCCTGCCCTTAGAGTCAAGTAAGTAGGTCGGGTACGATGCGAATCCCAGCATGTCTATTCAGAAGTACGTCGGCCCCAATGTAACCAAATAAGGCTTACTCCTACTACAGTTTTCTTCAACCTAGCATACTCCAGATGTTTCCAACTACAATTCCCATCAAACTAGGGCTGGGTATGATGCTTGTGGCACATCAGCATGGTGCTTTTGCGAGGGGGGGGGGATGCATTTCACTTCTGAATGTCCACCTGAGGAAGGCTGCATAGATAGCAGTGCTAGCATGATTTACACAACCAGTATAAATTATGTCAGAGCAAGCTCAGTCCAGGGGAAAAAGTAGCTGTTTTATCCAGGACTCTTCCTGCAGTTCCAGTTTTCTGGATGACCGCTTTCATTTGTTGTTTTGGGACGTACTTGTTGCTCAGCTTCCTGGCCTGTCTCCTTTGGCCTTTACAGCCATCTGCTGCAGGCTGAAAGAAGGTTACAGTGGATGATGTCCAGTATTTTCTTCTCTCCACCTGCTACTTTAACACTGTTAAGTTAATAGCATGCAGAAAGGAGCCCCTCCAGATGGAGGCCTGGCAAAACTTTGGAACTTAGCATATATTGTTTCCCATTCTCTTGTCCTTTGCCTATATATAGGATATGTGCTGATGAAGACCTGATTCCCTTGGGCTTGTCTAATGAGACCATAGAGCCCTCCCTCATTTCCTGGGCTTGCCTACCCTATAATCCTTCCAGTCCCATCCTTATTGTTAGCCCAGCACAAAGGAGCCAGCCAGCCAAGGCCTCTTTGTCCCTGGCAGGGGAGGGTCCTTTGGAGCTTCTGATTTGCTCTGCATACTTGTCACAGTCAAACCCCATTGTGTGTGTGTGGGACTGAGGGAGGGCTGCCAAGTGCTGACAGTCTATAAAGAAGCAGCCCAAGAGAGCAATACAGAGCGGGGTCACCAGGGAGGGGAAGGCCTGCTTGGCTCTGATGAGAAGTGCAGTTTGCAGCCCTGATAAGCCTCAGTGGGCATGGTTGGTGGGACTATCATTTCCCACCAGTCACAAAAGTGGCCGCTCCAGTAACCTCCAGTGCCACAGTAAAGTGGGAATTCATTTCCGCTTTGTTTGTGTGTTTGGAGGGGCAGGTGGTACTTCTTGCCTCTTTTCTGCTTATGTGGTCTCTGTTTGATCTGGAGCATTACTGCAAGCATCTTAAACAGTGGGTCAAAAGCAGGAGGGGTTGACTTCTGGCTAGTGAGACATTCTGTCCTTAGATAACTGAGAATTACAAGGTGGACTTAAGTGGGGCTGATGCATCCTTCAGAGAGAATGGTGGACAGATAGTGTTATATATGAAAATGTGAGCACACACTTTCAAGCATGGAGCAGTTGGTGTTTGTTTTAACATGTGAAGAAGTAAATATAATGAATAACATAGCTAGCGTCCATATTTAACTAGAATCACAGAATCTGGAAATGTGGCTACTTAATTTGAAAGATTTGGTGTTTCCTGGCTCCTGTGAACCAGATGTGCATCATTGGTTGCCAACTGTTTTTTTTTTTTTTGTTTTTAATGCGAGGGGGTCATATTATTCCTCTTATAGTTAAAAAAACCTGTAAGGAGCTTTGCTGCACCAGGAAACAGTATAATTCCACGAGTACAAAAACCGTAACAGTTGAACATGCTGTTTGATGTAACATAATCATACAGTCTGAAATAAAAAAAATATTTTGAGTGCCTCTTATGAATGCTGTTCTGGACTTTCCTACTCTATGAAAGAGTGTGGCCATGTCTGTAGGTAGGTGTGTTATAAATGTTAGTGGTAGCATTGGTGGGCATTATGTAGTGAAGAGGGTCCCGGACAGTGAATCAAGATAATGGAATGACAGCCAGACTGGTGAGACCTTATGGTCCAGTCTAGCTAAGAAGTCTGTCTTGCAGCAACCATGCTACAGTAGATGAGAACATTTCTTCAGGGGAAAAACCCTTCCTTGTTGCTCAGGAAAACCTAAAATGTCAAGAAAACCCGGCAACAAAGCCCTGCTCCATGATATGCTAGCAGGGAGCTTTGTTTGTTTGTTTATTATCACACAGACACCTCTCCAAACATGTAATTTTCCATTCTGCCATCTTAAATGGTACAGTCAGGGAAGGAATGGCATAGCTGGCAATGGGCAAACCTACTTGGCTTTGATGGAAGTTTATAGAAAATAATAAACAAATATACAAATTAGCTAGCATCTGTCATTCTTGCCTAACTCTGGCAATGAATTCAGTTCAAATACAGCTTCTTGGCAGGATGATAAGTACCAGTATTCCCAAAGAATAAGGGGAAGTGAGGTCGTTGTGATGGCTCCCCAAGCAGTTTGTCAGCAGAAAGGATGAGATCATGTGCCACCTGTGAATGGGCTGGGCTTGTTTGTCCAAACTATTTAATTCCTGTGTTCCTTTTTCTATAACTCCTATTCCTGGCCTATAGAGCATGATGCTAGCAATGGAGGATAATGTTAGTAACTAGACTGTTCTTTGCTCTGCCAGGGGGCTGCAAAAAGCAAGAAGGAAAAGACTGCAAACATGTCAGTCTTAAACCTTCAATTAAAGGAAGATGCTAGCCATAGAGACTGCCTCTAAATTTATTCCCACTTCTTTGGTCTAGAGAGACAGTGCCATGTATGAGTATTCGGTTTCCGTGATACAGCAGGCAGGGACAAGCACTGCATTGCTGTTTCATTGATGTTTATCTAACATCATTATATAAACATCTAATGTTTATCCATTATCTAATGTTTATCCATTCACACAGTCATTGTAATGTGGTGGTGTCATACACCACAGTGATATGTTTCGTGTGTGTGAGTTTGGTAACTCATTTTCTGATCACATGTCAGGTTAACAACTCACCACCACCTCTAGGTTGAATGCATGTTTTGAAAGCTTTTTAGGGCATATTTGCTCTCTATGTTGCCATTAGTTTCACATTGGCCACTATACTAAAAAGAAATTTCTTTGTGGTTCTGCCTCATCACCTTTGCATAGAAGCAATAACACTAATAAGCGTTAACATTTATCACAGAAGTACTTTGTTTGTGTATATAGTTTTTCCCTCTCCTAGTGCCCTGATAACTTTGGGGAACAGAGAAGGAGCTGCCTTGGACACAAATAATATGTTGGTTAGTGCCTTAATCAGGTCCGTATTGGGTATCACTCCTGCTTTCCCACTTCTTAATCTTGACTTGGGTTTTGTGCTTCCTTGCCTTTGCTTTGGGTCTGTGTATTCCTTGGGTTAGTTCGGGTAGTTTCTTTTCAGATTCAGACCTTGGCTAAGACTTGGTAGTTTGATTCCTCATAGGCCCAGCTGCAACATATGAGTTTTCAGCCTTGGATCTGCACGTTGGGAGACAGCGAACAGGCTCTTGGAATTCTGCATGGACACCATCCATCATCTCCCAGCTGTAGCCATTTGAAAGGCCCACGCTGGCATCTTGCTGATTGGTTGTCTGAGCCTGGAAGAGCTTTTCATTGACACTGGTGGAATTGCTTTTGTATGCTCAGCCTCTGCACTTACCCTGCTCTTGTTCCTTGTTCTGTTTACACACAGAGCCACATGCAGCCAAAATTAATGAATGGAGGGTTGGGGGAGGGGGGAAGGGTGCCAGGATGAGTCACAGCTGAGCCAGCCTACATGGACTTGCCTTTGTGTGAAGGAACTGCACACCTAATCACAAAGGAATGCCTTTGTTAGGCTAGGCTTGCTTGCTTGGAGAAATCATGTCAACTAGCAACAAATGGTTTAAGAAGCTGATGTGTCTCCATGTATGACAGATTTCCTCCCCAGAAATTCCACACAGGAATTGTGTGAATCCCACATATCGCTAGTAATCCATGTCTTAATTTTCTGCAGTACATGTACATGTGATCAGCTGCAGTTGTCTGCCTCTGTGTATGAATATGTGTGGAGGGTTACACTATTTTTAGGGTTATGGGTTCCCAGGATCCAGTTCAGCAAACCCTAAATGTAGATCTGCATGAATCAAATGATGTTTTATCTCCTTAAACTCTTTCCCTCTTCCTTCCCTTCATGAGGGCTTTAGGTGCAGTTGCAATAATTCTGCCCAGACAGGGCTTCTCTTCGTTAGATTCCATCAACCACTTTAGTTGTGTTCCATCTACTGTTCTTGCTTTGAATGTCCTGAGACTGAGTGTTGAAATCCTGGACCTGGGCATGGGGCTCATCCTTTTTTCTGTCTGGGCAGGTTTGCCACAAAGGAACGGGACGGACTCCTTCTCTACAATGGGCGCTTCAATGAGCGACATGATTTTATTGCCCTGGAGATTGTACAGGAGCAAGTACAGCTTACCTTCTCAGCAGGTATGATTCATCTCAGGCCCTCTTGAGAGATGGTCCCTTTCTTCACTTCTGCTCATTATAACCTCCTATCCCTTGCCCTGGCAGTGCCAGCGTTGCCTTGCTAGCCTCTTGGTCATGTATCTGCTTAGCCCCACTTCTTATCTCTTTGTCCCTAGGCCTTCTGTTCCACATCTCTGTTTTGTGGTATAATTGCCCCACTGTTTTACCCCTATTAGCCTCTATGCTCCCTCTTTAGAGCTCTTGTGGGAAGTGGTGGAAGGAGACACATCATTCCTTCCCTAAGATTTTTGCCTTGAGTTGTTTTTTCATCTCTGCTGTAGGAGAGTCGACAAGCACAGTAGCCCCATTCATCCCAGGAGGTGTGAGCGATGGGCAGTGGCACACCGTTCACCTGCACTACTATAATAAGGTAAGATGCAGCAGCCAACAACAGCCTGAAGAGGATCACTGGGGAATTCAGCTTGCTTTACCATTTACCATGCTGGCTGGTAAATGCCGAGAGTTGCAGAGCAATACCTTTGGCGAGCGCCAATTTGGAGGAGGCTGCTTAAGATGGCAATGCCTGCCACTGCCTGTAGTTGAAGACGTCGCTTGCTGCGAAGGGTGGCTGCTGGAGCCATGAAAGATTCAAGGGCCAGGAGGAATGTTTGATCACAGGGGTCACTGTCATTGATGGCAGTCTCCACAGGCCTGTCTCTTCTTGGCTTCTGGAAATCCCAGCCATTAGAATTCATATGAATAGTGCCCTCAATGCAGAGACTGGGGGGTGGGGGTAGGATGGCTTGTGGCTCCACTGTGATGAGGTCCCAAGAAGCCATCTCTAATGAGGAAGCTGCTGACAGGGGGCAGGAGGTAGAGAGCAGGTGGCGCGATTGTCACATGCAACTGCCTGGTTCGATTAATAAGCTTGGGACTGAAAGGAGCTGCCCAGGGGATGGAGTGGCACTGGGGGTGGAAGGGGAAGTTGAGGAGGGGGAGCAGTGGGGAAGCTGGGGAAAGAAGCCAGTGGCCGAAGATTGCCAGGTAGTAAGAGGCAGCTCTGCACCTCGGAGCTCAGAGGAGCCCTCCTGCAGTGCCTTGTGCTTGCCCGGCCTCCCTCCCTCTTCTCATGGGGGAATTCAGCTCATTTTGCAGACTGAGTTGGCTACCCATGCTGTTTTCCAAAAGGCATCATGCTGAATCAGCAACAAGCAGCTGGAGGGAGCTTAGCTGAGAAAGCCCCTATCTGAATGTGATTGTCTGGAGCTAGAATCAGATCTCCCAAGTTAGGAGAGCCTTGACCTCAGGCAGGCCTGCTGGATGTTAGGAAGCCCTCCTGAGAACATCTCACATCCATGAAAATTCAGGATGGCTGTATTTTGAGCTGGCCTCCTGGGGAGAGGAACTAATGAGGCACATACCTGGTTGATGAACTGAGACCCCCTAAATAGCTTCTATGTTGTCTTCATGGTATTCAGAGAAACTCTCCCTCTTTCAGGTGCTCCTTGAGAACTCTGGTTAGCCAGTCAGAACTCTAGCTGGTCATCAGGCATTGTTCTCACTTGCTTAATCTTGAGGGTAATGCATCAATGTCTTGTTTCAGGGCACACAGTAATGACCACCTTAAACCAGGCAGGAACTCCTGATATACAAAAGAGAATTAGATAATGGCCACTGGTGCCTGATGCTTACTTAGAACCAACTGTGTGCAAAACCTCATGTGCTTAGGCCTGATTTGGTCCTCCCAGGGTGCCAGTGTGGCCCCTGATGTTAGGCATTCTGACATTTCCCCTTGCTTTGGCTCCACCTCTTCCCCTCACCTGCCAGTCATTCAGTGGCTGCCCAGGTTTTGCGTGCCTTTTTACCCATTCTGAAATGTTAGGCTGCCTTATCTGAGGCTTAGTTACTAGTAGTCAGAGCATTAAGCATTAAGAGCACCAAACTATTCTGGTGTTTTGGGCTCTTCCCCTTTTGACTTCTGCCTCACCTGTCAAAAGAATGGGGCCCCTGGGAGCTGCTTTACATTGGAATTTTGCACTCAATCTGAAAGAGGTTTAATGCCTCTGTGCTTGATGATTGGTGTGCTGTGCTACACAAGCAGTCCTCTGTTCCTTGGAGGTACTTTTTATCTTCCTTGGCCAGTGTCCACCCTTATCCCCCACCATTCAGAAGAGATGAACGAGCAGCCACGAGACAGCTTCCTGCTTGTGGCCTGCAGCAGTTGTGCTGGAGTCCAGGGCATTCTGGTTGCATGCTCCCACTTGACTGGCTGGGTAGGGTGTTGGCCTTCCCACTCCTGGGAATGTTTCTGAATGCAGGCGTCAGGCCTGATGAGTGGGATTGCCTGCGGGAGAGTCACCCAAGCACACTGCCTCTGTGCCAACAGATAGTTACCGCTTGCTATCTGGTGTGGGAGGGTGCCAGTTTCCCAGCTCCTGCAGCCAGCACAGTACAGACAAGTGTGCCCCCAGCACTCTCAGGTCTTGATGTGAAGCATTAGCTGCCCCACACACCCATGGACAGGCAAGGGCCAGAAGTGGGATTGAGACCGCTTACCTATCCTACTGATAGCTTGCCCATAAAAAGATAGTAACTAGCGGAGTTTGTCAAAGGAACCTAGTGCTAGTGTTGTGCTCTGCTTGGTGGCTTGGAGTCCAGAAGACTGGACTAAAACATCAGGGCATAGGAAGGGTGTAGCACCACTGTACCATAGCGATTTAGTATTGCTCCATGTCACACCCACATAAGCCAGCATTTGGGATCATTTAAAGAAGTGTCCCTGTAGCTACTGTTTTCCCATCAAACATGATTAGAAGAGAAACTGCTGTGGGAACCATGTGGAGTGAGAAGTTTGTGAAGATATGTACCCAGCCAGAAACAGACTCTTTGCAATATGGGGAGGGTATAAAACTGATGCCTTCCAACAGTCTGAAGGTGTACTATCCTTGTCTTACGTTGGCTAAAAGCCAGTCCATCCTGGCTTTTATGACAGCAGTCTGGTAGTTTGTGGCTGCTTTTGCTTTGTGGTTATTGACTCATACCAGGATGAAAAACCACTGACACAAATGCTCTGCCAAGTACCTGGGAGGCTGGTGGAGCTTATATGTCTTCCGTGTTCTAGATAAGGAAAACAAACTCAGAGTTTCAGTTCCATGTCTTTCAAAAGGGGATAAAACAGTCCAGCTGTCCCCATTAGAGAAACAAGTACAGCATATTCAATCCAATATGAATCCCTGCCCAAGCATGTGAGGGCCTGCATATACCCTGAGGGTGCTTTGCCTCCTTATTCTAATTGCAGAAGCTGGGAGGTATGTGAAGTGAGATCTTTTCTTCCATGACTGGGGTGATTTTTCATTAGGACAACAGATGTGCTGCTTCCTCTGAATAGTGGAGATGGCACATTGTTTGCTCATAGCCAGCCCAGTTTTCCCTTGCTCCCACCGTATAGGAGCATGCTGTCCAGGAATTCCTGGTTCACAGAACAAGCCTGCATGTATTGGCAGCATGTGCTCTTAGGAAATGCCTCTGGACATATTGGCACCTTTGATTGTGGTTAAATTAGCCGGTTGAACGGAATTGTGTGTATGTTTGTGGGAGGGAGGCAAAGAGGGGAAAGCCACAGGCAGATTTACTTCTCTAGCCAGTGGACGGAATCAAAGGAGCGGCTGGAGTGGAAAGCAGCAAGGTCCACTCCCACCATTCCTAGTCAGCATGCCAGGCTGGGGAAGGCTGGGCTATGGTAGTGGGTCTGACATGAGAAATCCAGGTTCAGAGCCCTGTTTGGCTGTGAGTTTTGCAGCCCAAGGATGTGCCTGAGGAATTTACTCTCCCAGGAATTGCTATGGAGGAGCACTCCTAAGATGAGTAGACAGAAGGACAGAGTGTAGATGTAATGGCTGGTTCAGCTATGGTGCTGTAAAAAGCATGGGTGAAGTCTCAGGGTCCCTGTTTTCAGAATGCCTGTGTGTAAATAGTGTGGGCCTTTTTTAGGCTTTAGAAGGATTTTGTGGCATTGGCCTGTCCTGGCAGATGGTGCTAAGGGTGGTGAGGGTCAGCTGAACAGTTCCTTCCTTCCACTCTTCCATCCTTCCTTCCTTCCTTCTTTCTGCTGATGTTCTTTCTCCCTGCCTTCCTCCCTCATGCAAACAAATGTATATTATTTTTAGGTCTAAATAATTACACCTCCATTTAATTTTTTTAAGGGCCAAACTGAATGATTGCATTTAATGGGTAGATTTTTTAAAAAATGCAAAAAGTCACCGTCATGGAGCCCAAACAGGCTCAAAGCCATGGAAGGGGAGTTTAACCCTTCATTCTGTACAAATCTTTTGCATGGCTTGCTGGAGAGGGTTACAGAGACACCTGGTAAGAAAGGTTGTCACACAGAGGAATGGCAGGATCTCTTCTCAGTCATACCAGAGTGCAGGACATGGAATAACAGGCTCAAGTTACAGGAAGCCAGGTTCTGGCTGAACATCAGGAAGAATTTCCTGACTGTTAGAGGTGTATAACAATGGAACCAATTACCTAGAGATTGTGGACTCTCCCATACTGGAGGTATTCAAGATGCAACTGGACAGCCATCTGAGAGGGATGATTTAATTTGGAGTCCTGCATTGAACAGGAGGGTGGACCCAATGGCCTTCTTGGCCCCTCCCAACTTAGTATTCTATGATTCTACAACTCTTCCCAAAGGTGGAGAAAAATCTACAAAATTAACTCTGCTCTGCAAATCAGTACTTTTGTGCTCATTGGTAGAGTGGCAAATTAGGCTCCTGAGAGTATGTTGCAAAGGTCCATGGGGTATGCACTGTAAAAAAAGCAGCAGGGTAAAGGGGGGCAAGCCAGAGAGTACCAGATTATTGGAAGTAATGTGAGCAAACAAACAGCCCACCACAGTTTATCTTCAGGATGGCTTAGCATGGCTCAGTAGATTAATTGTGGGTTATATTAACCCAAATTATAGCTTAAAATTAGTAGTTCAGCCAACTGTGGGGGGTTTTAACCTACAATTAACCTATATTTATTTATTTAAAACATTTAGTGTCTGGGCAACCTCTGATTGGCTCAGTCAGAGATAGAATATTAAAAAGACTGTGGAATGTGCCTGGCATACACCAATACAAATTGTGGGTTAAATGGCCAATGATTTATTGCTGTTATATGTGAATGGAACCAAAGTTGTTAGATTTCATACATATTTGGTGTAATGGTTAAAAGCTCATTACTAGAACCTAGGCCATCCGGGTTCTAGTCCCTGCTTAGCCATGGACCCAACTGGGTGACTTTGGACCAGTCATAGACTCTGAGCCCAACCTCCCTCACAGGGTGGTTGTTGTGAGGATAAGATTGAGAGCAGGAGAATGATGTAAGCTGCTTTGAGTTCTTTCAAAGAAAAAAAGGAGGGATATAAATCAAATAAATAAATAAATACTCTCATTCCAAGAATATAAAAGGATGGTTATCTAATCACCCATGGCAAGTAAGATTTGTTTTCAGAAAACTGGGAAAATGAAATTACCTTTTATATTTATGAACTTGTCTCTAAGTACAAAACACCTGAACATGTATATGAGGGCAAAATACGTCATGTCTGAGAAGTATGGATGTGTATGACGTGCAGATTTTTATATTAAAATGTGGACCCCGGTCTTTTTCCAGCCCGCCTTACATGGATCTTGCGGGCAAATGCCACGTTTCTGTACACATGCATGCCATTCATTAAAAGACATTGCTGTATTCAGCCCGTACCCAAGACAAACTGCAATATAAAAAGCATTTCGGCTGCACGGAATTTCCCCGGGTGATTTTGAGGCTTGCGCTGTGCTCTGAGCATTAAGCCAAACGACTCCCCACCCCCGCACCGCCGCCCAGTTTTCTTTTGCATGTTGCATGGGAAGGAGTGGCTCAAAGGCTGACTGAGGGAAGTTTTGGGCTGCCAGCCAGTCCCTGGGTGCTTTGCTGTGACCTGTTGCCATGGCCACGCCCTCCCCTCCCCTCCTCCTCCCCAGCTGCATTTCTCTCCCTTTGTCTGGGGCTGTCCCGTTTCCTCACCATGGCCATTGAATCCCTCTCAAAATTCAATAGTCCAGCGCGGCACACAAAAACGGTCACCAATGACCTGTGTTTTTCTCCTGCCGGGCGTGGGGGAGGGCGCTTAGGGTGTTCACACTGGCCCAGTGGGCAAACATAAAAGGGAGAGTGGAGGGAGAGTCCAGAGCGCAAGCTCCGGCTGCACCATTTACAGGCCAAAATGACACACTGCCCTCATATACTTCAGCGTTGGGGGGTGGGGGGGAGGAATATATTTTTTCAAAATTAGCAGAGATATGTAGTTATATTAAAATCCAAAACCTGTCAACTCCTCCGCTCCTCAAAATGCTGTGTCACACATACTTGTAAGTTTATGGGCATTCAGATGCCTTTTGTGTTTGACAAAATGGTTAATGGCAGTAGTGGGAAAATCCAAGCAGGGAGCAACGGCTAAGCTGGCTGGCACACAGGGTTGTCCAAATACACGTTAATATGAGATCGCCTTTATGCTTAACTAAGCAACAGTGCACAGACATACTTTTCAGTAGTATGTTTTTAATCTGGCTTAGGGATGCATTCACCTGCTCATCAGTCTGCCAAAGTAAAGACTCATAATGTTTGAAAGCATTGGATTTTACATGTTCTTGCCAGTGTTACGGTCTCCTACCAGAGGGGTATTTTCAATACCCCCAGCAATGTATAAAGCTGGTGAAAGATATTCTTGAAAGCATATTGGAAGCTGGTGGCTAGGCAGCTTCTGCCTGTGGGACTTTCTGCTTTGCACAAGGACTCTTGAGCTGAAAACTCTGCATTGGCTGCCAATGTTCTAGCTGCTTCTGCTGCTGCTTTATAAAGCCTTGAACAGCACAGGATGCAGCTATCTGAGATACCGCCTCCTCCTCTTGTATAGACTGCCCCATCTCTTTCCAAGAGGGAGGCCGTGTTGATACTCTTTTGGCAATGGCCCAGAATCAGACTTTCTCTGTTGTGGTGCCAATGGAATGATCTCCCTTCTGAGATCAGGCAGGCTTCTAATGTGGGGTTTTTCTTTTGACAAGTTAAGACACATTTGCTTGCCCAGGCATTTCCTGATCAGTAGCATTGCCTGGTACCCCAGCTGAATTAATGAAATGTTACTATTTTATCAATGTTTTATTATTTCAATTGGTTTATAGTATTTCTTCATTTTTTTATCTTGTGAACTACTTTGGGATTTCTTTTTTAATGAAAAATGATGAAGAAATTATATAAATATTCACTTGTTGATCCTTGTCTGATAACATATTTTTAATCAATAAGGGCAAATATGTCACCTCTGTGTTCTATGCAACATGGTAGCCACAGTAGAAATTTTGAAAAGCAATGCTAGAAATTGCTTGCAGACACTTTTCTATAACTGCTTTGCTCTGATATATATGTAGATTTCATTCTTCATTCTATTTACTTGCTTGATGTTTCCAGGAGTGATGATCTGCCCATGACAATTGGGAAGTGGCGATACTGTGAAAAGATGACTTAGGGTCACACAGTAAAATTTGATTGATCCATTGATTAAAACAAAAAGAAACATGAATCTGGTTGTCTACACATTTGGTGTAATTAAAAAGATGAAAACGAAACTGCTGAAATCTAAAAATACCACCATACTTTCATGGGAGGCAGAAACAGCTTCAAACTATAACCCAGGTAGAAGGTAGATTGGAATCTACTGGTAAATCTCTCAACTATTTGCGGGATTTTTCAAGGATTTCTAACTCCTAGTGGTTTAAACTGAACATTTCAAAAATCATCTCTGCAATGACTGGTCTTGTGCTAAATGCTTGTCTTTGAGCCACAATATTTCTTACCTGCAAAACGTGAGTATTAATCGGTTGCCTTTGATCAGGGCTTTGTCAAGGCCAGTCCTATCCTGAAGCAAACCAAGGAACCCATATCAGGTGGCAGTCTGGGAGGAGTGACTAACAGTGCTGCTTCTCTCATCCCCATCAGGAGGGCTTGCTACTGCCTGCAGCATGAGCTCTGACTGACCCATCAGTTTCCACCATGACATTTGTTGCAGTCAGAGAGTGCATGGCAGGGCTCTCTGGAGCACCTTGTTTCCCTCATGTTGTCCCTGTTTCCCCTTAGCTTTGCTCCTGTGAGGCTCTAGCTGCTGATTTCTCACAAGAGCCAGATAAAGATCTTGCAAGAGCTCCACAGCTGAGGAGTGGTTCAAGGCAGGGGCTGTAGGGAAGAAGGGGTACCGGGTGGCACCAGTGAATGTTCCTGTTCAGGCTGAGTCATCCGGGGTCAAGGCTGGTCTTTCTAGTAGTGTTTGAGAATGTTGTGCTATATTCCCTGATCTGTAGGAACTCAGACATAGGTTTTCTGCTTATATGTTCACTGTATGGCCCATGGGTGCTGGAGGTAATCGATTCCACTCCCCCTCCCCTGGCACTGTTTTGCACCTGGCTTTGATTAGTGGTCTGAGGGGCTCTACTTTTTTAAGGTAGAGCTCACCATCCCAAAGTCTGCCTATCTCTGCTATTAAAAATATGCAAATAATCCTGCTTGAAGACAACAAGAGACAATATGTGAGGAAATGAAATAACATGAAACCACACTGATGCAGATATTAAGATAAAAGGTCCATCACAGCTCTATAATCCTTTGCAAGATCATATTTCTTCCTTGTATCATGCCTGCATGATGTTTTTCCTACTGGGATCCTCTTACAGGATCCTGAGATCCTACTCTGTGCATTTGGCAAGAACCTGGGGCAGAATTTGGCATAAATTCAGGTTTCACAAAAAAGAAAAGAAAAAAAAGTGTGTTGTGGGGGTGGGCTTTTAGCCCTTAGTGCTACTGAGAGATATGTGAGAACAGGTTGAAGGCTGAGTATTAGACAGCATATTAGTCCCTTGAATCTGTTTCTGTAGATGAGATTATTTAATTCTCCACAGGGGAGCATACACAATGCACATGCTTTTGTTGTAGCTGTAGTAATCTAGAGCAATGTGTAGCCCTTGGCTCTGTCCCTACAGTTGCTAATACATTTTAGATAAGCTGCTTCACACAGGAATGCTGCCATCTCTTGCAGGATTCCTATGTGATACTGCAAGAGAAAAATTCCACCTATTCACCATCCTGTTTCTAATGAGTGCTCAGGTGTGGAGTGCTTTGGAAATGCCCAGGCCCTGAGAGTCAGCTGCCACTCAGCTGCTTTTTCCATGGTGCCCATCTGGTTCCAGATGCAGGAACAGGTACTGGAGTTAGTGCCTTCTAGAAATACATCTTCTGCTGGTGTATTTGAGGCCACCTAGGAGCACAAGTTTGAAATGGATTTCTTGTACAAGAGATATCTCAGCTTAAGAGAAGCTGGGTGAAGAGTTTTGCTTGCTTTGCCAGCTTTTGGTCAACATTCTGCTCGTCCTTTTTTCCTGTTTGATTTTGCCATCCTGGCTGTTCCTTCAAGAGGAATCTGCATTTTCTTCACAGCCCATCCTGGGGATGTCTGGAGTTCCACAAGGACCCTCTGACCAGAAAGTAGCTGTGGTGACTGTGGATGACTGTGACACTTCAGTGGCCCTGAAGTTTGGCTCCACCCTGGGAAACTATTCTTGCTCTTCTCAAGGGACACAATCGGGCACCAAGAAGTGAGGATTTTATGTGTATTATATTTGATAGAGTTAGAGAAGTGAGGAAGGAACAGACAGGACTAAAGCCAGGCGGGTTCCATGCTGGTTATTGTTGAGTGGGGAACAGTGATGTGGTATGGGGATAATACTTACCTATGTTGGCTTTCCAGTTTCACTGTCACACTTGAAAAATGAGATGTGAAGCACCGCCTTCCCACCCTTCAGTTGTAGGGACCATACATGCTGGGGAGACAATGCATTTTTAATGCTTTCATTTATGTAGCTAGCTAGAGATATGTTCATTTGGCTAAGCCCCACCTTCATCACCCGCAGCACAAGTCTGTGGCTGCTGTGGGATTTTATAATATGTCCTACTCTGGAAACTCATGTTTTCCAGGTTGAACTGCTATGTCCTTCAGTCTTCCCCAGGTACCTTCTGCTGTGTGCCTTATACAAGAAGAGACGTCCTCTATTGAAATCGCAACCTTCTTCTCCCTAATGGTTGCTGTCCAATGGCCCTAACATCTCCAAGTTTTCTGTTGATCTTGAGTCTTGACCTGAAGCACTACTTATGCTAGCTACAGTTTGTACTCGGAGATGGTCTGTTAATCCGTCATTCCCTCCTTGGCCTTGGTCCCTTTTTGTATAACTCCTGTTTTGACTTTTTAGGTCCCTGGATCTGACAGGTCCACTGTTACTAGGTGGTGTTCCTGACTTGCCTGAGAGCTTCCCGGTACGGAACCGACACTTTGTAGGCTGTATGCGAGACTTCCTGATTGATAATCGAGAGGTGGACATGGCTGACTTCATTGCCAACAATGGGACTGTGCCTGGTATGGGGTATTTCAGAGTAGGGGAGGAAGGTTGGAAAGATGCACTGGCCATTTATCCAGATGGCAGAATTTCTCTGGTTGCAAAGCTGGCAAGAAAAGAGCAGCACTGTTTTGAGAAGGCCCTGTGTGCCATGGACAATGTTTACAGTCCAACTGGTCCTTAAAAACGGGCCTCTCAGTCCTGGTCCAGCTCCTCATTGCCCTCCTTAGCAGCCTCAGCCTTTGCCTGCCTTGGCATGCCATTCCTAATCATGGGGAATCCTCCTTTGTCAGGGCTGTTTCCAATACCGTCTCTCATTCCTCCTCCAGGATGTTCATCCAAGAAAAATGTTTGTGAGAGCAACACATGCCATAATGGTGGTACGTGTGTCAACCAGTGGAACACCTTCAGCTGTGAATGCCCCCTGGGTTTTGGAGGCAAGGATTGCAAGCAAGGTAAAGGATGCTGACTGTGAAAGACAGTGGGAGTGGGACGGGTATGCTGAGACTGTTTGGGCATTGGTCACCCTGGGAGGCCAGCAGATTTGATGGGAGGGTTTTTGTTGGCTCTTTTTTCTGAAGGGAGCTGGATTAAGGTGTGGAATATTAACAGAAGATTTCTGAATGATTCCAGCCCCTAAGGGAACACATGCCCATTTATAAACTTTGAGAAGTGTTTGTTGCCACTGTAGTTGCCTTGCTTCAAGAGAGATGGGAAGTGGGCCACCCATTACCAGAAAAACAATGAAAGAGAGAGAGCAAGACTGTGGCCCAGAAAATCTTGGATGTGGGCTTGCAGCAATAGTTCTAGGTAAGAGAGTGAGAAGTAGCACACACATTCTTTTCAGGCCTGGGAATGTGAGTAAACAGGAACTATTATTTACCCAGCTGCATGGCATACATGTCCCTCAAATACCATTATATTGTGTCTTTTCCTAAACTGGTGTTCAGTGATCCAGTGCAAGCAGGCAAGGATTTGTGGGTGGCTCAGGTCCCATCTGTCAGCACATCCTTTCACCCCTTCATTTCTTAGTCTTTTTGATCAGTACTGTTCCAAACATCTACCACTGGAAGACTGACTGATATAAAACTACTCATATAAAACTACTCCCTCTGTAAGGGTGTGGACCCTATCGTGTTGGTCCGCCCTCGGAGCAGGATGGATCCAGATGGATTCCTGAAAGCTGTGGGGGAGTTTCCAGTTGATAAGGCTAGCGATTCTGTTGATTCTCTGGTTGAACTGTGGAATGGGGAAATGGCCAGAGCTATTGACAAGATTGCTCCTAAGCGTCCTCTCCTGTCTGGCAGAGCCCGTTCATCCCCTTGGTATACACCTGAATTACGGGCGATGAAGCGGGTTGGGAGACGTCTAGAGCGTAGGTGGAGGAAATCACGGGATGAATCTGACCAAACACACTTAAGAGCTCATTATCGAGCCTATGCTGTGGCGCTGAGGGCAGCGAAGAAGAAATTCTTCTCCACTTCCATTGCCTCCTCACAGTGCCGTCCAGCGGAACTCTTTCGGTTGGTACAAGGGCTGGTATATCCTGGCCCCAGGAAAGATCCCGTGCCACTCTCGGTGGCCCGCTGTGAAGACTTTGCCCAGCACTTTAAGGAGAAAATCGCTCAGATTCATCAGAAGCTGGACTCCATTAGTGATTCAGATTCTCTAGGGGAGGTGCCGATGTCGCCATTTGGTCACATATTGTTGGATGAGTTTCAGTTGTTGCGCCCTGATGATGTGGACAAGGTGCTTGGACAAGTACGTCCTACCACCTGTTTACTTGACCCTTGCCCGTCGTGGCTACTGACCAAGGCCAAACACGGGATTGGTGCCTGGATCCTGGAGGTCATCAACACCTCTCTGAGGGATGGCCGGGTGCCTGCCCCTCTAAAGGAGGCAGTGGTCAGGCCGGTCCTAAAGAAGGCGTCCCTGGATCCTGAGATGGCCGCCAATTATAGACTGGTGGCCTACATCCCGTTCTTGGGCAAGGTGTTGGAGCGGGTGGTGGCAGGACAACTCCAAGCACTCTTGGATGAGACTGTTTATCTGGACCCATTTCAGTCCGGCTTCAGACCCAGGTATGGTACTGAATCTGCCTTGGTCGCCCTGTATGATGACCTGTGCAGGGAGCGAGATGGGGAGTGCATCCTTGTTGATCCTCCTAGATCTTTCAGCAGCTTTCGATACCATTGACCATGGTATCCTTCTGGATAAGCTAACAAGTCTGGGAGTAGGAGGCACTGCTTGTTAGTGGTTCCGCTCCTGCTTTGACGGCTGATTCCAGAAGGTGGTGCTGGGGGACTTTGGCTCTGTGCCATGGCAGCTATGCCATGGAGTTCCGCAGGGGTCCATTTTGTCCCCCTTGCTATTCAACATCTACATGAAACCGCTGGGAGAGGTCATCAGGAGGTGTGGACTGCGGAATCATCAGTACGCTGATGATACCCAGCTCTACCTCTCGTTCTCCACCAATCCAGGTGAGGCAGTGGCTGTGCTGAACCGGTGCCTGGCCGAGGTAATGGGCTGGATGAGGGCCAATAAACTGAAGCTCAATCGAGACAAGACAGAGGTCCTGTTGGTGGGTGCTTCGAGCTCCTGGGTGGGTGACTTGGACCTTGTCCTGGATGGGGTTGCACTCCCTCTGAAGGACAGGGTCCGCAGCTTGGGAGTGCTCCTCAACCTGGAGCTGTCCTTGGAAGCTCAAGTGACTGCAGTGGCGAGGAGCGCTTTCCTTCAGCTTCGGCTAATCCATCAGCTGCATCCCTACCTGGAGGACGATTGCCTAGCTACAGTGACGTACGCATTGGTTACTTCCTGGTTGGATTTCTATAACGCGCTCTACGTGGGGCTGCCCTTGAAGACAGTCCGGATACTTCAGATGGTGCAAAATAGAGCAGCCAGGTTGCTGATGGGGACTGGGCGTTATTCTCACATAACCCCAGTCCTCTACGAGCTTCACTGACTTCCCATCGAAGTCCGGGCTCAATTCAAGGTGCTGGTCATCACCTATAAAGCCCTTAACGGCTTGGGACCTGGATACTTGAAGGAACACCTGCTTCCATATTTGCCCTCCTGCCCCTTGAGATCGGCAGCAGAGGCCCTCCTCCAGGAGCCCTCTGTGAAAGACATCAGGAGGCTAAGTACCCAAAGGAGGGCTTTCTCTGTGGTGGCGCCCCATCTATGGAATGCGCTCCCCACAGAGGTCCGCCTGGCGCCGTTGTTATTTGTTTTTCGGCACCAGGCTAAGACCTTTTTATTTAAACAATATTTTAACATGTTTAATATTAACTATAGGTTTTAATTTGCAGCTGGAATGAAACGGGTTTTTAATTCATATAATTTGTATTTTTTTTGTACCATGTTTGTTTATTTATGTAAGCTGTCCTGAAGCGTTAAGCGATGGACGGCATACAAAAACTCTAAATAATAAATAAATAAATATCTGTCATCATACTTTTAGTTATTCAGTGACTTGCTAAAAAGAACAAGGACAGACATATTAGTTCAAGTAACCCACCTGAAGCTTCAAAACTTTGTTCTTGAACCATAAACAAACACATAAATAAAAGAAAGTAATGGCAATACAAGTGGTCCCGACTCTTTCTCCCACCAGCTCCTCACTATTACATCCCTTAGTTCAACCCCTGTCTCAGCATGGGGATTCAGTGCCCTAATTAAATACAGCCAGACTGTGCAAGTTAAATCATACAGTTCATAAATTGTGCAGACATTGGTCCCTCTTATGCCCACTTGTTGGGAAAACCCGCCCCCCACTATCACACTTACGTTTTCTGGGAATTTATCTTTTGTCACTGGAACTCTTCTAGGAACATAAAAAGCTGCCTTATATTGAATTAGACCATCAATCCATCTATCCCAGTATTGTCAACACTGAGTGGCAGCAGTTTTTCAGGATTTTAGGCAGGCATTTTTCCTACCCAATCTCAAGATGCCGGCAACCAAACCTAGCACCTTCTGTGTGCTTCTGTCATATTTCCAAGCCTCTCTACAATCCTGAGATCTAGGATTTTTTTTTTAAATAGCAAAGCAGAACTGCAAGCTTCAACAGTGGCAAAAATATGCCTCAGGAGGCACATCCGGCATATGTGCATGTGTTGTCAGCCCTGTCATAGAGCATGTCTGGAAATGTGTGGGTAATATACATGTAGAAACCCTGTTTGGATGGAAAAGTACTTACCTTTTTGACGTGCCTATTTTTTCTCCTTGAAGAAATGGCAAGCCCTCAGCGTTTCTTGGGCAACAGCATGGTGACCTGGAATAGCTTGGCACTGGTCATTACACTTCCATGGCACATAGGACTTATGTTCCGTACTAGGCAGAGCAATGGTATCCTCCTGCATGCTACAGCTGGGCAGCATTCCACCTTTACCCTTCGGGTAAGTTTCAGTGCCAGGGTAGCAACCCACTGTTACTCTGGATTAGGGGCCTGGAAAAGATTGCTTGGATCTGCAAGCAAGGAGTGCAGGGGCTGGAGTGAGGGGTGGGTCACAGGTTCCCGTCTCCATCAAGGAAGGGTATCTGAAGCCTCATAGCAGACTAAGCAGACTGATGGATGGTCCTCAGGCTCACTTGGTTAGAGCACGGATGTTGCTCATTACTGCAAAATGTTGTGCAAGGCTTGGCTCATCCTCTTCTTACCTCTCCCTCAGTTAAGGGACGGGAACATGCTGATGACCGTGTCCCGTGCAAACAGCCAGGTCTCATCACTGCGGCTGCACCAGGTGAAGGTGAATGACGGTGACTGGCACCACCTGCAGTTGGAGCTGCGCAGCAGCAGGGACAACCCAGAAGCTCAGTGCTTAGCCATAATGGTCTTTGACTACGGCCTGCACCAGGTAGAGTGAACGCCGGCACTCAGATGATCAGGAAGGCCAACTAGTCTTTAGCTCACTGCTTGCAAGTGTTTTGGGCCCTCAGGGCCTCTCTGTCCTTTGCTAAACATGAAGAGTATAGTGCTGAGACCAGTGAGAACTAAAGTACTACATGGGGTACATACGTGTTTCCAGAATGGGTAATACACAGCAGCCCAATCCACTTGATCACTTTTCTTCCTGGCTATTCTATCACTGGGCTCCCTTTCCTACTAAATCTGATCATTGTCTCCTTTCCCCAAAACAACCCACATGCACTGTTATCTTGGTTCCAGACACACTTCCTTTTCCTGCTCTGTAACTTTTCTGACAGTGTATAGTTCCCAGTCTCTGTTGCACCCCAGAAATGTTGTGGCTCATCAAGCAATTAGGAGAAAGTGCTGCAAAATGGCTGCTTTGTCTGCCTGTCCTGCAGGTGGTGGCAAACATCAGCAGTGAGCTGCATGGGCTGAAAATACGAAACCTGAGCATTGGTGCTGTACTGGGGGAGCACGGGGAGATGCAGGATGGTTTCCGTGGCTGCATGCAGGTAAGTGCGACAGGACCAGCCAGCCCTGCCCTTTGGCAGAGTAAAGCAGTTGCCTCAGGCAACAGATACTGGGACGGGGGCAGCAAGATACTGAAGGAGAGGACTATGGCATGTGCTTTGCTCTATGCCCTGAGTTAGGCTGCTGCCTTCAGGTGAGGTGTCCTATTGCTAGTGCTGAAGAAAGATTCAGCTTTTGCACATGGAATGAGAAGGGGTCCGTCTTGTTATTTGCCTCAGGCAGCAATATTTCTTTGGCTGGCCCTGGGCTAGAAGTAGACCCTGGTAGCCCAATCTGGGTGGTAGGTAATGCTGGACCATGCTGGGATCAGCTGTTCTCTCACTAGATAATTTTAGCTAGCGACTGATGAGCCTAGACACTCAGCCACGCATGTGAAATCTTGAGCAGACTGCAAGCATGTATCCTCTGAAAATCTCTGTCTTATGCTGACAGTGGCGTTTGTATATATCTATCCATTTCTCTGTTTGCACCAGCCTTCACCCACCTAATACCCTTCAAATGTATTGGATAACAGCTCCCAACATTCCTCCGCCAGCCATAGAGGTAGTTATATTCTAACACATCTGGAGGGCACCAGGTTGGGTAAGGCTGGTATAAGCAAATTGGGAGTTTCCATGTGTTTCCATTTGGAAACCTGCAGCCACATCAATTGATGCTGCACTTTCATCCAACAACACAAGGTTGTTGGAAGTGTGGCTGAAGCCTGCATGCTGGTTGATTGTGGGCTGCATAAGCTCTATTTACGTATCATTCTCTCTTTAGATCAAGAGGAAAATAGGTAGGATAGGTGGCACCCTGTTAAAACGGAAGAAACTGCATAGCACTACAGTTTTGTATTGCTCCCCACTTCCTGCTACTGTGTCTGTTGTGCAGATGGATGTGGGTCTGGTATGTGGTACTTCAAATCAGAGCAGACTGCTTACATGTTAGATCCATACCTATTTCTCACTCAAGCCCTTTCATCTGAGGGAGCACAGCACCATCTAGAGCAGGGGTCTCAAACTCGTGGCCCACGGGCCAATTGCTGGGACGGGCGGGGCATGGGGGAGGGGCCCTGTGGCCTTCAAAGCGCTGGCGGCACCCGGGCTGGCCTCTGGGAGCCACGCGGGATGAGCGGCCCACCACCACCGCTTGATGCAGCCCAGCCTCACCCAGACTCTACTTCCAGCAGCCCCCAGGTAAGTTGAGTTTGAGACTCCTGATCTAGAGGTTGCTGTCCTTCTTCCTTGTGTATATGGGTGTGTGGGGGGGGGGGCGGAGAGAAGTAACTAAACACACACACACAGACACACATTGTGTGTCTCTGTGTGTGTGTACACATGGCCTTTTTACTTGGCTCTGCTCCTACTTAAAAGCAAGTTCTGTTCGTCATGAACAACCATAACAAACTTTCAAAATGCTGCTGCTGCTTGGGTGCTCTCCTTCCTTTCTTGCTCTCTTTACCTCAGGGGGTACGGATGGGTGAGACATCAGCCAGTGCTGTGGCCCTCAGTATAAACCAAGCTGAGAAGGTGAATGTGGAGCCTGGCTGCAGTATCCCAGACCCATGCGACTCCAGTCCTTGCCCTGTCAACAGTTACTGCAATGACGACTGGGACAGTTACTCCTGCAGCTGTGACCCAGGTTAGTGAGTGTGTGTGTGTGTTAGGGGGATGGTGGGGTGATGATCCAAGCACTGCCCCATGAATAGTACTGGAATAGCTCCATGCTGACATCCTCCAGAGCAGCCTTTGCCAACCCGGTGCCCTCTGGAGGTGTTAGACTATGACTCCTATCATCCCCAGCCAGCACAGCTCCTACGGGGTGATGGGAATTGTAGCCCAATATCTGGATGGCTCCAGGTTGAGGGAGCCTCCTTTAAAGCTTAGCCTGGTAAATGCAAAACAGGCTGATTCAATGGATCAGTTGGTGCACAGGTATGATAATCTCTCATAATTTATTATTCTGATATTTTTAATTTAATTGGGAAGTTCTTAGGCAGACCTGTTGTGGGGAAGCCATGTCAGATTACCACTTTTATAGAATGCCGTTAGCAAGCTGCCCAGAGACTCCACTTTGAGTAGGGACAGCATAAAATGTATAAATAAATAAATAAATAAATAAGCAAGCATCATAGTTTTTTCTGTTCTATGCTTTGGTCCTATACAGTTTGTTAGGGTGGTTTGGTGGTTTATGTAACAGACAAGTAACATCAACAAGCAAAAAATCAAAATTCAGATAATGTCTTGGGCTTGTCATCCCAGCATTAGTATTCTGAGATAACAGGAAGGAATATAAAGGCCATCCTCATGTAATTACTAGTGAAGGAATGAATACACAGCCGAGGCAAGAAACACTCAATCTTGTCAGAGGCTGCTTACTTTTTCAACTTACTTCAGCTTCTGTGTGTCCCCCCCACCCTGCCTGAATTGAAGCTAAATTGGGAGATGGTATCTGAATATTTAAACAGACCGTCTGAAAGGCCAAAGGCTCTGTGCAGTCAAGATTTAAGAATGAGCTCCATTCTTTCACTCTCCCATTTGCACCTATTACGCTTTGCTGTGCATTGAAGGTGGTCTGCTGCTGTGCCCAAACTCAATTTTTTTTTCTTCCCTGTGGTGTCAGGTGGGTACTTCTTGCCAGGATTGCATTGTGGAAATGACGCCAAGCAGGGTTTTTTTCTGTGCTGCTTCAGGTTACTATGGAGACAGCTGTGCCAATGTCTGCTCCCTTAACCCCTGTGAACATCAGGCTGTGTGTGCCCGTAAGCCCAGTTCATCCCATGGCTACACCTGTGAGTGTCCCGAAAACTATTTTGGGCCCTACTGCGAGAACAAGTGAGTTGCCCACTGCTGCGCTGTGAAAGCGCATCTGCGTGCGTGGGTATGTTTGCGCATGGAAATGTGCCTGTAGGTGTATGCATCTTACCTGTCAGCATTGGTGGAAATGGGTACTTGAAGAGCCTTCTGCTCTTTCCTGAGTGGTGGGGCTGCAGTGGGGCATTATGCCTGAGTGTACTGTGGGCCTTCTCTGCAGTAGCCTGCAGCTTTTGGAATGCCTTCTTCTCAATCTCTAGAACAGTGATTGCTTTAGATGCCTGTTAAGGATCCATCTCTTTCCTGAATCGCTGTGCTAACCAGTTAGTTTGTTTAGGCACTTACTAGGTTGGACTGAAATTTAATCTAGAGTAAACCCAATGAAATCAATGAAACAAGTAAGTCATGACTAGCATACATCCCACAGTTTGGATCCAGCCACTCATTTCTAGTTTTGGTTTTTAATATGTTAAATATTTTAACTGATGAGTTTTTCATTTACTATGAAGCATGTTATGTTTTGATTTTGTAAACTGTGCATTTTTAAAGATTTAGCATTAAATAAATATCTAAATAAATAAAAGCAAGGTGAGCCAGGGGATATGTTTCTAGACCAGTCTGCATCCATGTTGCTGTGTGAGTAAGAGATCAATCCAACCAGGCACTTCCACTTCGACTGCATGTCTAGGAGATGCCATTTGGACTTCTGGAGTATAAATTCAGGAGACATTGTGCATCTATATTTGGATATATATGGGCTAGGAGTTGGGAGCTTTCTTATAACTGATATAGTGTGGTTGATATGTGTGCAAGTCTGGAATAATGCTTTGCATTGTATGATTGTAGCAAAATAAATCAGTATAACAAGTATATAATGTTGAAAAGTGTGTGGGAATCCTACAAAGTCCTTATGTATTTTGAGTCATACCATCTTTGTTAAGTCCTTAAAAATTCTGGTAGCTATCACCCCCATGAGAGCAGAAGACTGTATGGAAAGATGTCTAGGGGAACACACATATATTGTGTAATCCTTGGAGTTTTTAAGAACTTTTTGACAGTAAGCTTTTCATTATAAGATGCATCTGAATTTTGTCATTGACAGCTATTTTTGTCTGCCATGAGCCAGGCATGTGCTTGGCCTACTTGCTGCTGTGCTGATATACTTAATAGTGTGGTTGTTAACAGGTTTTGTGCTCTCTTTGTGGCAGGCTGGCTCAGCCCTGTCCCCGGGGATGGTGGGGGCATCCTATATGTGGACCCTGCAACTGTGATGTTGGTAAAGGCTTTGACCCTGACTGCAACAAAACTACTGGAGAGTGTCGCTGCAAGGTGGGCCCTGGCTTCTTTGAGAATCCCATGTGAGGATAGAGCTGCAGGCTGGAGTCTGAGGATGACTTAAGAGGTGGCAGGGTAGTTGATAAGCTGATTTTCAGATTTTTAGGTAGAAAATTTGTAGCCAGTGTGATGGTTCGGTTGTCTGATTAGCTTTTAAGTATTGTGCTTTTGAGAACTTTTCCAAATGAATCTATTTGCCAAGGAAAAGTAGAATGGTAATGAGTGAGCAGTTATAACACACAGCAAACAATTAAGAGAAGTTGGATAACAACTGGGTCTGCTGTAGTTATTTATTTGTATAAAAGCTGCCCATTAGCTTGATGCTTTCTTTATCACTGTTTAGAACTGAAATTTTCTTTCTGAGTAGTTCTTGAAAAAAGGGGTCTTTTGGTGACCAGAGTACTCTGACAACTACTCTGAGCCTCCCAGCTGGCTTGCTACCAATGAATATGGGGAGGAGAGCTGGTGACCAAGGTACAGAATGAGGGTTGGAGGTATTCTTCAGGGCCCCAGGTGATGGCATCTTGTCAGGTTGCCTTATGTCATTTGAGAGAATGGGAATTGCTATGGAATCCTAAATCTCCTCCTGCTGAGCTTGAGTGATCTGGCGGCCTTATGCTGAAGAATCTGGGGTATGTTCTGGTGTACATTCTCGGTATGTACAGCATTTTCCTGCAGTTGCAAACTGTTTGGGAAGAATAGTTTTGAGTGGTCCAGCTGACTTGCAGAGAAGCTTGTCCACGATTACTGATCTTCCTAGTGAAGAATCTTGATAAACTTCCAAAGATTCTGGGCTTTCCTCAAAAACAGTTTGAAAACTATTCAATGAAGAAGTAGGGCATTTTAGTCCAGATCCCTGCTTGCTGAATCTTATTGGGTGGCCCTAAGTAAATCATGGGCTGTGTTCTCACATGGTAATGCTAAATCAGCCTCTCCCATCTTGGTGCCCACTAGGTTTGTTGAACTACAACTCCCATTATCACTGGCTAGCATAATTAAGTTCAGTAAGCCAGATTTAGAAACCATGGTTTGAAGTTAGATTGTTTCAAAGTAACCACAGTTTTTTCCCCTCCAGGTGCTGTGGTTAACCAGAAGTAAGGCATGCTTATGCAAAAGCTTCCAAACTCCTGCCAGAAGGATGGAAGGGAGCAGCAGGCCTCAGCCTCACTGTGGCTTGCTCTTCTTTGTTCATAGTTTGTGCACTGTGGTCTAGTGCGATTCACAGACAGAGCTTCTTCCTCTGTCAGCTTAAAATTACTCGCAGAGCTGACTGGAGATGAACTAGATTAGAAATGACTGATATACCAGCACTGTAGGATTTTCTGTCTTTGAAAACTGTGCATTTGAACTGCTGAAGGGGAATTTAGTGCAAAGTCATATCTCTGCTAATGGATGCTTGAAGAAGAACTATCCCAGTGTGTGTGTATTATTGGTGGCTCAAAATAGGTTTTGGAAGAAAGACTGGATGCTGAGTTAACCAGGCCATTTGTAGACTTTGCATGAGCTGCAGAGTTTTCCAGAGTTTTCAGGATTGATATATTTTACTACTGTTCTACAGGAGAACTACTACCAGCCAGCAGACAGTGCCATGTGTTTGCTCTGTGACTGCTACCCCACAGGCTCACTGGCTCGCACCTGCGACCCTGAGAATGGGCTGTGTTCCTGCAAGCCAGGTGTGATTGGGCGTCGATGTGACCGCTGTGACAACCCTTTTGCAGAAGTCACCACCAATGGCTGTGAAGGTCAGCAGTGGTTTGTTGGGCACAGAGTAGATTTGGAATGCTATTACCATACTCAGCTGAGCTGAGCTGAGCTGAGCTGAGGATGGATACAATGGGAGGCAATAGGCTTGTCAGCAGGGAAAACCAGCACTGGCCATCTCTTGGGGCTGAATAAATTTTGCAACTGATCAGGACACCATCCACAATAGTGTGTGGCACCATCCCATCCAAACCTATGCTCACACAGTTACAACAGAGCCACCCCTTGGCAAGATTTGTCAGCCAGTATAGCAGCACTAAACTGAATGGGCCTCTACCTCAGATGGTATTATCTCAGTGACTAAAGACTGGCTAGATGGAGGGAGGATGTCAACCCAACTTTAGTTTTTAAAAGTTCTGTTCCTTTCTAGTGTCTGGCAGATGTTGTTGTCGTTGTCATCATTGTCATCAGTACATTCAGAGTGGCTAACAACATAGATCATAGGAATCATAATACAATACAAATGAATAATTAACAGTATTGATGGAACAATATAAACACATCACAGTAAAAAAACCCACTGAAAAATCTGTTATCTTGGAAGCAGATGGCTGTTTTCCAGATGACCCAGGTTTCCTTGTTTCCATGCTTCTCTGCACACCCTTTACTAGTGAAGTAGACATTTGTAGAGGTATGAATTCTGGACCACCTTGCCATTTACCTGGGGCATCCTTGCTTGAGGAGCCACACTGGGTTTGTATAAAGAGGAAATACTGGTTCACAGATTGTTTCTTTTGCCTTACAGTGAACTATGATAGCTGCCCACGTGCCATTGAAGCTAACATTTGGTGGCCACGTACCCGCTTTGGCTTGCCTGCAGCTGCATCTTGTCCCAGGGGATCTGTCGGTAATGAAACATCTTTGATCGTGTGTATGTGGGACAAGCGACCAGTTTGATCACATGGTTCTTGCATGAACCAAGCACTCCTCTTTGTGATCTTTTGATACCAATGAAATCTGTACTGATTCTGAGGACTCCTCTCTGCACTGCATGATTAACTAAAAACCTAACTATTGGCCTTTTGGCTTAAATCCTGAATGGGGTTGAAGAGGCTGCACCAGCAAAGAATGTACTGGCATTTTTGTGGACCAATGTTTAATGTGTAAGATGCACAGCGGGACTGACCATTCTTTCTTGCTTCCTTGTAGGGACTGCCGTGAGGCACTGTGATGAACACAAGGGCTGGCTGGCACCCAACCTCTTCAACTGCACTTCACTGACCTTTGCTGCTCTGAAGGGCCTCGTAAGTGCTTTTCTCTCAATTTCTCCTGTGCCCAAAACGAAGCCAGGAGTCTATGGACTTGCTTCCTTATGTGTCTGCATGTAGTTTCTGTCAGTTTTACTTTGAGACTTTCTCTCAAATCAGCAGCCCCCAGTTACAATGCTGTGGTCTTACTTGACCTGAAGATGCAATTGCATGGTCTCTGGTGATCTTCTAATGGTCCCTGCACTGTAAGCCAGGGATGAGGTGTGAAGAGCCTTTCAATGAACCTGTGACCTCTGACCCTGTTCCAGAGCAATCAGAAGGATGCTTTCATACATCCAGCCTTCCACCATTGAGTTGGACTCAGTATGGGCCTTCCATGTATGGAAAGGCCCTGCTCATGATAAACACTTTGCTCCAACTCAGTAGGGTTTCCCAGCCCTCCATAGAATTTTCAGGGGCTTGGAGAGGCTTCCATGGGGAGGAGTGGAGGGAAAGTCCTCTTCTGCTAGCCCAGTTGCATGTACTGAAATGCAGCACTGAGTCATTGATTGGATAGATTGGGCTGGTTGAGTAGTGACATGAATTGCCCTTTGCTGATGAGGAGGTGCTTTGCATTTGTCCTCTGTTGAGCATTTCATAGCACTGTTATTCACCCTGAGTTTTCTTTGCTTACACAATCACGAGAATTATATCTGTTCCTCCTGAGGTGCGGGGAACTTCCAGCGTGTGGATATGGCCTGCTGGGCTTCTCCACTCAGCCTGCCAGCTTCTTCCCCAGGTCCTCCTCCCTCTTCCCGGGTAGCAAGAAACTCTTATCCTCATTCAGCATTGAGAAGGAGAGAAATCCCTCCCTCAACTGGTCTGCTTGGAAAGATGTGTATGTGATTATGTTTCTGAATGGTGTCTGTTTGCATATAAGCATTTCTGAGTTCCCATAAAGAATAGGAACTTGAAAGGAATGGTTTTTCAGGAGGGATTCTGTGATCACAGTTAAATTCTGCGTTTGTGCATGTTGATTGTAGTAACACTAATCAGCATAGCCTTGACAACAACCCATTGTGATGGCAATTACTGCTATTTTACAGAAGGGAACTGAATTTGGACTGGGGACTGCATCTGGGGACTTCATCTGGTCAGTGATCTCATTTTGTTCTTTATGCCTTCTGCTGAGTATCTTTTCCTTTTCTTTGTGGAATAGGCAGAGAGGCTGCTGCGGAATGAGACCCTTTTGGATACAGAGCAGTCCCAGTGGGTAGCTCTCCAGCTTCGCAATGCTACACAGAACACAGCCAGCTTCTTTGGCAGTGACATCAAGGTGGCTTATCACCTCTCATCCCAGCTCCTGAAACATGAGAGCACTCAAGAAGGGTTTGGCCTGGCTGCTACACAGGATGTGCATTTCACAGAGGTATACCATAAAATCATACATTCATTTATGATTTATATGATCTTAAACCAGAGCAGCTGTTCCCCCACTTGGGAGAAGCATGATGCTGCTCAGAGCTGCCTGTGGGACATGTCAGAAGGGGTCCAGTCAGCTTGGGCAGATGCCTTCTGAAAGGAAGGAATCTCCCGCCATCATTTGAGTTTAGAATTGCCTGCTTCGATCCATGGTCCATACGTCAGATCTCATAATCCTCTGGTCTGGATCTCAGCTGGCAAGAGGCTGATATAGGATAGTCTCCTATAGGATAGGTTCTCATGTAGTGGCAAATGATCATGGTAAATTGTCATGATGAGTTGCCATTAAGTGCCAAGCAGCCATGCTGAGCCTGACAGATGATTGGGCTCATCTTAGTTGCTTTGCTTCCCCACCCCACCCCCTCTTCCCTCATGGCAGGGTGCTGGCAGATCTGAGGGGTTACCATGAGGAGAATGACGCCGCTTTCTTTGACAGTCATAATTTCAAACTGATTTCAAGTTGCTGCCACTGTCAAAGACTCTCCACTGAGAAAACAGGGTCTCTGTCCTGAAGTTCAGTAGAGAGAGCAGGGAGCTGAGGTGGCATTCTTATCTCCTGCTCCAGGGGAGAACTCTGGAACAGGAGGTGTGGATGCCTGATTGACTCTCATGGGTGAGGTGAGGGTGCAGGCAGCATGGCACAGCTGCTCCTACTGCTCCTGCCTTACAGTAGGTCTCTCAGGTGTAGGGATGGGGGCAGTCATCTGGGTGATGCTTCCCCATTTGCAGCATCCCCACCCATTAGATTGTTGTGGAGCCAATGCTCCTCCATGTCTGACAGGCTTATTGTCAGGCAGGGGCCAGGGAGGGGCAGTCAGCTGGGTCATGCTGCCACTCCTGCCTAAGTCTCTCTCCTACAGGAGCAGGGAAAGGGGACACCCCTCTTTTGCTGCAAAGAAAGCCACTTAAGCAGGAGTGGGGAAAGAGAAGCCTGGGCTAGACAGAGATGTGTCTTGAAGAGTGCTTATTCCCAGTCAGTGATTGGTGTGGCTGGGCTATTTGTGCTGCCCAGTTGGTTGCCAGCTCCTGCCCTAGAGTAAATCTCTGGGGCAGGAGGTCAGGGGGATACTTTTGGCAGCTATGTCAAGCTGAAGCAGCTGTCAGCCACATGTCTGGGCCACTTGGCTAAAGCTGCTCTTGCTGAGTGGCTGGCTTTTTTAGGGCTTTTCCTACAATGGGCTGTGTTAGATAAAACAATTAGCAATCGTGGCAGGGAGAAATTCTAGACAAGACAGTCATTTCTTACTGTGGTTCTCACAATGGTAAACCAGTGAGGCTGGGTTCAGGGTACACAAAAGTCAGTAATAACATTAACAGTTGCTTGTTATGTCATGCAAACCCGATCATAGACTCGGCTCCAGAGCCATCTTCCCAGGTGAAGATTGCTTTCTAAGTAGAATTTGGGTTTCAAGGGCCAAAAATACCATGAGCACAAAAGCACACGGGAATCCCAACAATGTCCCTGTGCGCTATTGTGACTACCATAAATCCCAGAAGAAAAAACCTTGCCATATTAGCCATTTCTGGCTTTGTGCCCTGACATCATCTGGTCCTGAACTATAGGTTGGACCTGCCAGCAGAGGCCATTTCTAGCCGTGCCCTTGACATCATGGAGTCCTGAACTATGGGTTAGATTTGCCAGCAGAGGCTACTCCTCTCTCTCTTACATGGTGCTTTCCTTTCTTCCCTGTAGAACCTGCTCAAAGTAGGCAGTGCCTTGCTGGACAACAGCAACAAACACCACTGGGAACTGATCCAGCAGACTGAGGGGGGCACAGCCCAGCTGCTCAAACACTTCGAGGATTATGCCAGCACACTGGCCCAGAACATGCGCAAGACGTATCTAAATCCCTTCACCATTATCACACCCAACATTGGTGAGACCCTTCTCCTCCTCATCATTGTGAGGGCTGTTTCCTGATGAAAGAAATCTCAGTTGTTTAATTGCAGTCATCTTTGTTGATGGATTGACCAGTCCATATATTTGCATGTGAACAAAACAAAATTACTGAAGAAAAACATTATATGGTACATACATACACATTAGAATATGCACACATACTTTTGTGGTGGCAGGCTGTATTTCTGTGTGTGTGTGCGCACAGACAGACTTGATGGTTACTACCATGTTCTGTAAAGTTTTGTGTTAAAACAGTTAATAACTTGTTAAAATGCTTCTTGATTAATCAAATACAATTTTTAGGGTTGATCAAAACTTTTAAAACCAGTTTCACTAATAAATTATTCTGCTAACTATTGTAGCCGAAACAGTTATGCTCAGCTTTCATATTGGACTGCTTTTCCCTTTATCAAAAGCCCTTTATCCTAGGCTGGATCTACACCAAGCTTTTACTACTTTTTACTACTTGGCACTACTTTATCACCTGGATAACTCCTGTGGCATATGATGCTGCTTGTTTTTGATTCTCTTGCATAGTTCTCTCCTCCTATTCACAAATTTGATTTCTGTTTTCTCCCTCATACATTTCCATTGTGGCATGTGCCATTATGCGTATACTCATTTGGAATTATCTTTGCTTTCCCTTGTGGGGTTGGTGGAGGAGAGGAAGTGTCTGTTCTGGGCTCTGGCTCTGCAAACAGAGCAGTGACTCAGAGATTCTTCATAATAAATAAACTTCATGGCATCTTTCATGTCTTTTCTTTAGGAAACAACTATCTGAAATGCATGTCTACCCAGAAATAAATTGTATTTCCTTCAGTGGCCTTGTAACCAAATCCACAGAGCTAACACATGGGAAAGTGCATGGGAGGGAGGTTGCTTTTGGATGGAGAAAAAGGGAGTCCCACTGCCTTGGAAGGACAGGAGCAAGCAGCAGCCCCTTTCTCTTTTTTCCAGGCTTTTGTTGAAGGGAGGGGACAGGAGGAACTGTATTTTTTTCCATTTTCACTCCTTGTATGTGCACATCACTACTTGAGCTAAAAACAAACACAACCTCAAGGGCCACTTCCTGCACACATCTCCTTTCCAATTCTTCCTGACATTTTCTCGAATAATGGTAAATACCATCAAGTGAGCAACACCCACTAATAGTGCTAGTGCATATGTATGTGACGTGGGAAAATGGCATGAAAACTGTGGCTATCCCATGGGAGTCTTCCTGTGTGCTCTAGGAGAAGACATGTGGGATGTGGCTATTCCAGTGCATGATGAGATCTTAACAAAATTACGTTAGGTGTAGAACCTGCCCTAACAATCTTTCCATTAACCTCAGTTAGGCTAGTATATTGCATGCAGTTGTGGGGCTACTGAAGCTGAGGGACTGTGGCTTTTGTAAGGTCAACTACTCAATTCTTGGCAGAGGTATATAAACCTGGCCTTTCCCTACTCACAGGTCACATTAGAAGGGATTCATTTGAATTCCTGTCATTTGTTAATGGTATGGGTCTATGCTACATAGGTAGCCCCAGACTACCAACTCAGAAGCCAGCTGCATGTCTGGGACCTGGTAAGAACCCCAACTGGTGCAGTCACAGTGGGGCTACCTCACACAGTGTCATGATTCCATCACATATTCATTTGATATGAAGTGGTTTGGGGACCGCCCCCCCCCCATAAACACACCTTGTTAACTACTAACCTGTACCAGCTCTGTGATGGATGAATTGATGTATGCTTGTGTATGCCATTTCTTGTCTTTTTGAAAGGATATAAATATGTTACTTTTGTCAGAATCTATAAACGGAGTGTGGAGAGAGATGGGAAAATATTGGGGGGAAATTATTTGTAGGACTGGATTCAGTTTTGTAGGAGCTTTACAGGGTGGGGAGGTCTAAAGGAAAAAGGGGCAAGAAAAAGAATCAAGGCCTAAATATAAAAAAAAAACCCAGCATAGTTCAGCTTGAATTTGTTACTTTGAATAAAAAAGGTAAGGCATTTCTACCTTTTAGAATAGGAAAAACACTCAGAAGCTCAAAAACCACCAAATGTGATGAGTCGGGGAAAGGGGACCTGGCTGCTGAGGGAACTCTGAGGAACCAGATTGGGATCTCAGGTGGGGTGCTCTTGCCTTGGGGCTTCAGGTTTAACCCTCATCTGAAGCCCTCCAGTCGATGTATAACCATGTCCCTGTAAAAGTTAAGTATTTATGACTGATGCTATGCTGCTGTAAGATGGTGCTGAGCTGGTTTGATGCTTGTGATTATGATATTTTATATTTTTTGGCAGTGATTTCTGTGGTTAGGCTGGAGAAGATGAACTTTGCTGGTGCAAAGCTGCCTCACTATGAGGCACTCCGGGGCGAGAAACCCGCTGACTTAGAAACTACAGTCATCCTGCCTGAAAGTGTCTTCAAGGCTCCAGAAGGCAAACGTGAGTTTTGGGCTTCTGGGTAAAAATTCTCTGAAGCCATTCTAGAAGCAAAAGTGAACTGTTTATATTTTGTCATGTTCCTTGGCAGGTCATCCCTTTATGACCCAGAGTAAGGGCAATAGGGAACCATTACCAAATAGATGTATCCTTTATAATTCCGCTGTAGATGTTCAGAATTCAGACCACTGAACCAGTTAGTTAACTTTTCTATTAGCTAGCTTATTTGCCCTTCAACCTTTGCCTTAGTACATTTCTGTCACCTTTTGTTGTCTGTGCTTCAGAAAATAAGCTGTGTCTGTTATCTGTACATAGGGTCAACATAGCAGGGAGCTATTTAGCGAACCTCAGAGGAATTGGCAGCGTCTGTGGAAGCAGGATTTGTGTAACATTGAAGCAAATTAATACTAAATGACATAATCAGGCATTCCTTATGATAGGCGGTTATTAGGATCCTTCTTAGGGGCTGTTTGTGTGCCAGGGGAAACAATTCTAATGGAAAGCAAACAATAGATGGCTGAAATGGAAAACAGAGGACCAGTGGAGGGCAGGATGAGAAAACCTTGCTTAACTATTTCCTTCCTTGGGTTCATTCAGGACCCCATTGTACCCAAGCTGTTTTTCTCCACATGAAAAGACAGCTAAGGGGGGTCCTATATATTTCCTGCCCAGAAGTGGGGAATAGTTCTGGGGAGTTGTCAACTGTATAAAACAGAGGCCTTCCCTTTGTTAGTTCTGAACTCCAAATTTCCAGCCCCTGTGCCTGCTTTTCATTAAAAAGAAAAACCATTGAATAATTGAAGGGAGGACATTTCACCAGTGTATTCAGTGAGAGCAAGGAGAAAGGATGATCTGGAAGGGCTGGGGAGAGAGTCGGAGCAATCAGGAGGGCTGGGGAAATTACTAGAATGGTTAGGGCTGAAGAAATTGCCTTGTCAGGAACAACTGGGGATGTGTTCACTTGATACAGTTTTGCACATTTTTTGCTTGATCCAGCGATAACTTTGAAGGTAAGGAAGGAAGTTTGAAAGTTTCAGTCCACATGGAATGCTCTAAAGCTAGTTTAGTAGCTAAAATGATTCAGAAAACCTTTAAGAGCTGTTTGGAATCAGTTGTGAGGAGTCAGTTTAACTTAATGTTTATTTATTTTATTTATTTAAAGCTTTTATATCTCGCCCTTCACAATGTCTCAGGCAGATCTTAGTCAGTCTAGACTAGAAAGCTGATCTCAAAGTAAGGACTTACAAGCAGCGTGGCAGCCATACAGAACATATTTGGATAGCTCAGACCTGCTGAAAGGAAGTTAAATCAAGCCCTTAATCAGGAGTGGGAATGGAGGTCTTTTGGTCATGAGGGATATGATACAGAGGCAATGGAAGCAAGTCCATGAAATATCCTTAGAGAACCATTACTTTGGGTGTGCTTTTGCAGAAAAGGCCATCTATAAATACTGGAAATACATATCTGTTAAAAGAATGAGCATCTGCCTTGACCTGCTCTTCAGGCAGAGTTAAATCCAGCTCAGTATCTCATGCTCATTTTCCCAGAACCTTCTATGGCCAATGCCAAACATCTTCCTGGTGCAGGTGAGGAAGAAGAACCTGCCCTGATGACAAGACAAAAGAGGCACCCAGATCTGAGCGAGGGCCAGGCTATTGCCAGTGTGATAATTTACCGCACACTGGCAGGTCTGCTTCCAGAACAGTATGACACAGATAAACGGAGCCTGAGGTAAGACCTGTCGCACACCCCAAATGCACACCTCAACTCATCAGTTGAGGTTGTAGTGGGGCCCCCTCAGATACTCAGAAAACAGTCATACCACGATCTGTATTTGCCATACAGTTTGGAGATTTGGTAAATTCCTGCTAAGGGGACTGTCCACATCATAGTTCTCCCCGCATCAGTCCATTCATTCCCCATTGTTGAAGCCCCATCAGCTTTTATACAGCTTCATGGCCTCCTGTCCACCATGATCTCCAGTGCTCAGGACCGAAATGGGCAGCAGGAAGCAAAACTTTGTTGTTATTGTCTTATTCATCATCATGAACACTTGTATTGGTGCTATAATTTATTACTTTATTATATTAATTATTATGTTGTTACTTTGTGGGATGGGCCACTAAATAAGGCTAAACTTTACCCGTATAGGAAACTGGGATATGTTGTAACATGTGCCATTTACTCTCACAGAGTCCCTAAGCGCCCTGTTATCAACACTCCAGTGGTGAGCATCAGCATCCATGACAATGACGCACTGATGCAGCGGGCCCTTGAGAAACCCATCACGGTACAGTTCCGGCTGCTGGAAACTGAGGAGCGCACAAAACCTATCTGTGTATTCTGGAACCATTCCATCCTGTGAGTCCCATTCCCTGGACAAAAGGTCTTGGGGGCTTATGCATGTTTGGGAGGAAAGGAGGAAGGAGAAGCACGCAATGATATCCTCAGCTTGGCAGACCTTCCCTGACTGTGCTTTTTCCCAGGGTCAGTGGGACTGGTGGCTGGTCAGCCAAAGGCTGTGAAGTTGTCTTCAGGAATGAGACTCACGTCAGCTGTCAGTGCAACCACATGACCAGCTTTGCTGTGCTGATGGACATTTCTCGCAGAGAGGTGAGACAAATGAAGACCTATCTCTGGCTGTGGGTGGGCAAAGTCATACCAGAGAATGCTGCAAAAAGGGTTGTCCTTCAGGATGGGGTGGAAGAGCCATGACATTGTAGTACAATCCACATTCCTTAATGTGCCTGTGAATAAATCCTCTTTTCCTCCCAGAATGGCGAGATCCTGCCCCTGAAGACCATCACGTATGCCTCCATTGCTGTAACGCTAGGCAGCCTTTTGCTCACCTTCATCTTCCTGGCTGGCCTGCGGGCCCTGCGATCCAACCAGCAAAGCATCCGCAAGAATCTGGTGGTGGCACTGTTTCTCTCTGAGCTCATCTTTCTCCTGGGCATCAACCAAGCTGACCTACCAGTGAGCTCCTGGGGTGGGAGTGGTACATGTGCGCTATGGGAGCAAGGGCAGCAAACTCAGCTACACAGCTGATAATGCCAGTTACTACCAAATCTGGTAGCACCAACATGTTATCTTGTTTGGGAATGGAACCCATTGCTAATTATTGCTGGGTGTTAAATGAACAGGGTAGTCTTCTTGAGCATCTTGTGTGTCCTTCCATGTATGTGTAACATTGAGCCTGATGAGACAGGGCAGCTAGCCAGCCACAACAGCAGTTGTTCCTGGAGTTGAAGAGCAAAGATAGTACATTAGGTTAAATATCCACCCATCTCTTTCTGCAGATGTATAATTTCTCTTTTTCTCTTCCTGTGCCAGTTTGCCTGCACCGTCATTGCCATCTTGTTGCACTTTCTATACATGTGTGCCTTTGCCTGGGCACTGTTAGAAGCACTGCACATCTACCGCATGCTGAGTGAGGTGCGCGACATCAACTACGGCCCCATGCGCTTCTACTACATGGTTGGCTGGGGCGTACCAGCATTCATCACAGGTGGGGCCTGCACCAAACATTATATAGTCTAGGCCAGGGCCTAGATGTCTCTGAGGGTCTGCCTTCCCCCTGAGTCTTAGTTTGGCACCCAGAACATCATAGGAAGTGTGTTGGTATCCTGTTTGCTTTGTACTGGGCATCTAAGAATGAACTCAAACCAAATATAGCTAGCCAAACATAACCTAAAATAGAAATAGGGCTGGGATGCACTGGCTACAGGCCTAGCAGCATTTCTGCCTTTCAGTACTAGCCCCCACTATTCAAGCCATAAACTGCTACCTGACTGACTAGGTGAAGGATATTTGCTCCTTCTTCCTTCCACTGATGTTTCTGTGTGGCATCTTTCCTTAGGACTTGCTGTTGGCCTAGACCCTGAAGGCTATGGGAACCCAGACTTCTGTTGGCTCTCCATCTATGATACATTGATTTGGAGCTTTGCTGGACCCATTGCTTTTGCTGTTGCGGTGAGTAGCGAAGCAAGAGACTCGGGAAAAGGAAGTCAAGAGCATCAAATGGTCATATGGGATAAGGCTAATAGACAATGTGATTTGATCAAATGGGCATAATAACTTGGCCTCCTCACTGCCATGCTTTGTTTTGCATGGGTGCGAAGTCTGTGTAGTTCTGTAAATCTCTTTCACCATCCAAAAATTCTTGGAGATATTTAGAAAAGCAGCACATCAATCAAGCACCTTTCCCTTGCTTCAGCTGGAGCCTCCAGATCTTCCCCAACTGCATCAGGCAGGAAGAGCACCTGGCATCTCTGAAAAGCAGGGAAAGACACTGCATTCCAAAGAAAAATGGCTGGCCCTGGTTCTAGTGGCATGGAAATGTCCCAGGTTTGGGAGGACCTTGAGGAGGCTGGGAAGAAGACCAGTGCTCACCTTTTTCCTCTCTCCTTCTACAGATGAGTGTCTTCCTCTATGTCCTGGCCACCAAGGCCACTTGTGCTGCTCAACAGCAGGGATTTGAGAAGAAGGGGACAGTGTGAGTTTGGCATTGCTCATATTTTTCTGCATGCATGGCCCTTGATATGAGTGCTTGCTTGTTTTGCTGTGTCTCCTGCACTGTCCTGACACTCATTTTCACAGCCTGCTCATCTCTTGCTGCTGCTTGTCATGCCCATCACTGTCATCTTCACACTGCTTTCTCCATGTTGTAAAGTCTTGCTCATCCTTCCAGTGCAATCCTTTTACTACTATTTCACCACCTGCTTTCTGCCAGGTCACTTTTTCCATTGCTATCTGTTACTTGCTGCTGGTACAACCAAGCCCTCGATGCTTCCAGCATTCTTGAGAGCATTGCAGGATCCCTCCTACAAAACTAAAACTGAGTAATATGGTAAAGCTAAGGCTACCCCACACTGTCTGATGCATGGAATTCAAGGTGAGGACATGCCCCAAGGCCAGAATCTGGCAAGTGCCTCAAGGCAGGATTTGTGCCATGTCTGTGACTGATTTCTTTATCCAGGGGACTTTTGGAATGATATGCCAGAGAAGCCACATTGACTGTATTCCTTCCCTTTTGCAGCTCTGGCTTACGTTCAGGCTTTGTCTCTCTGCTGCTGATCAGTGTCACCTGGTTGCTGGCCTTGTTGTCTGTCAACAGTGATGCTATTATCTTCCACTATCTCTTTGCTGGTTTCAACTGTCTCCAGGTATGGTGAGCGCAAGGAAGATGGTGAGCTTGGGAGATGGGCTGGTAGGACATTGCCTGAGATTAGTCAGGTTTGTTCAATAGTATTAGTAGATTACCACCTGTTACCCCCACAACAATCAACTGCCGGCATTGCCAACTCTCCCTAGTAGAACCTTGCTTCTACTGTGTTCCTTTTCTTTCCCCTGGGGACTCATTTGCTTCATGTTGATGGAGTACTACAGACTGAGGAGGGCTCAGGCTTAAACTCAGTTTGGAGGTTTTTATACGACCTTTTCAACATGGTCAATCACTGTGCTGCTATTTGTGCATTAACATACCTGAAGTTTTAAGAACATAAGAGCCATGCTGAATTAGATCAAGGGCTAACATTATGTTAAAAAAATGACAAGCCAACTGCCTGTGGGGAAATCCAAATAGGAAGTGAGTGAAAAAAGTCAGCACAATTTGAAGCCAAGCAGCCATTGTGATGATTAGATAACTTTGAAGGGGGATTAAAGGCTATGTCTATCAGTAGTTATTAGCCGTGGTGGCTAAATGGAGCTTCCATGTTCAAAGGCAGTGTGTCACTGGAGAATATATGTGGCTGACAGAAAGCAGGGCCTGCAAATTGAGTTATGGGCTTCCCCTTGATGATGGCAGCCTGGATTTAGTCTGGGAGCCATGGAGTCCCATTCAAGGCTTTATGATCTTCTTGGTTTCTTCCACAGGGACCATCAGTCTTCCTTCTGTGTGTCATCTTATGCAAAGAAGTGCGGAAAGCTCTCAAATCAAGTTGTGGCAAGAAGCACAGCACAGACCCTACACACACCACCAAATCTACCTTGACAGCGGTGAGCATTTAAGGAAGCAGCAGGCCAGCAGACTTATAAGCAAGGGACAATGACAGCTGCCAGAGCAAATGGCCAGGGTTTCTGTGGTAGAGTGTAGCCACTGTTCCTAAAATGCAAAACAAACAAAATACTACCCCAAAGAACATTCTGCTCCTGAAATGCAAAACAAACAAAATACTACCCCAAAGAACATATAGCTCAAATTCTTTGCTAAGAAAAGCTGACTTTGGCCAGCTATTATAAATGATTGCAATTAAGCAAATGTGCATGTTTTTCCTGTTTTTATTCTGTTACCACTAGCCGTATGGAAGGAGCAAAAAATTATGTAAAGCGCTGAAGCCCTGCCACTGAATGCTGGAAATCCTGCACAACCCCCTTCTCTGATTTCATCAGGCATTACCCACATGCTTTCACACCTATCTTCATAATCTTAAGGCTGGAAAATGGGATATTTTTGTAAAATCTGGGATTCACAGAGTGCACACAATATAAAATTTTGTAGTTGCATGGAGCAGAATAGCAGGGAGGGGATATATTAATCTCTTTCAGCAAAGAAGAGCATTAGTGGCTGTGTGAATCCTCACTGAGTTCTAGAGATCTGTGAGCTGGGGTAGAAGGTCTGTGATAGGGAAGACATGGCACAAGCTTGATGAAAGAAGAAACTGATGCAAAGGAGGTTGTTCCTGTCTGTCTGCTGTTCAGTGCATCCTCTGTCCAGAATCTCTAACACAATGATTTCACCAGGCGTATAACTGCAACAACACGTATGTGGATGGGCAATTGTACCACACACCCTTCGGGGACTCCACTGGTTCCTTGCACAGCACTCTCCGATCAGGCAAGAGTCAGCACAGCTACATCCCCTTTGTGCTCAGGTAATTCTAATCACAGGGTCAACTGGCAGTTGTATGGATGGCCGTCCCCATTGTGTGAATTAATCACGACAGCTACTAGACAGCTAATGCCTGTATCAGAAATAGGATCTGCTTGGCTTCCAGAGAAGACCATTTTACTCCAGTGCTAGGGCTTGAGACTTCTTTTTAGGGTATCCAAGAGGGAAAGCAACAGTTCTCATGCAGTTTGTTATTGATAATTGTGTGTGGTGTCTTTATTAGCATTCAGAGCCATAGACTGAGCTAACAGTTCACTAGAAATTCCAATAAACTGAATGTTTATGCTTCTGAGGAAGGTTTTCACTGAAACACACTATGCAGTTTATGAGGTATGCCCCCTTCATTCCAAAGCCACAGCTGTATAAAACATTTGTGTTTGAGGATATTTCTGGACATTGATGATTCAGGGGAGAACAGAACAAATAGCATTCCTCTTGGAATCGTGAATCCAGAATAAGCGATGGACACTTAGTCCCTGTTTAGAACTGATGCCTGGAACAGAGGCATACCTGTGTGTTCCTTTCTTGTAATGCTTGTTATCAAACAGCTGATGCAAGTCTGTTAGAAGAGATGCCTCCAAGGTGAACCTGCCTGGCACTTCCAACAGCATTGTGTACAGAGAATTTCTGGCTGCTTGCTTCCCTAGTGTAAGGCTTACCCCCTTTTGCTGTGGGGAAACTGGGCTATGAGCTGCCATTAACACTTCTGCTTTCCCTTTACAGGGAGGAATCTGGCTTGAACAACAGCCAGGTGCATATTGGGCCTACAGACCCCAGCGCACTCTTTTTGGAATCCAAGGACCAGAGCAATGGTGAGGAAGGAGAATAGTCAGGTTCTGGACAAAACTGCAGCTCTGCTTGTGTCTGTGCTCAAAAATAGCCTTTTAACCTCTAACACAACAAGAGGTCATAAAATACAATAATGTGGATCTGCCATTCATGTTTTGTTGCTGCTGTTGTTGTAAAACAGGTGCAAGAGGCTCTGTGTTTTGATTAGAGAAGCAGTGCTGGGGAAACGGTTGCTTAAATCTTTCATGCTCACTGTTTCTGTATCTAAATTGTCCCCACCCCAAAAGCTGCTATGAGGTTTAGATTCTAAAGCGGATGTACACAGCTCAAGGGGATACATGTACCTGCAAGGCCTTAGTTACAGCCTCCAAGGGTGCCTTGACTTCCCTGCCTCCACTGCCAAAATTCCTCCCCAAGAGATCTTTGAACAAATAGCTCACTGGAAAGAGCAGTCTTTGTGAGGATTACTGGGGAGGAGAATGGAGAGAAGGCTTGCAGCATGTTTGGCTCTGTATACCACCCCTGCCCTCCATGCCAGCATTACCTTGGAGCTGAACGGTTGTGCATTCCTTCCATAAACCTACACTGTCCTGTTCTCTCTTGGGCCTAATAGTCACTGGGGTGGAATCGGGGCTAATTGGATTGATTAAATGCAAGTTGAACGATGCTTTCATGCCTGAACAAACATCTGCATTATATGCATTATATTCCTCAATGCTTTTACATTTTAGGATGCTTTCATATTCTAGTATGAGCCCAGAGGTGGTGGTAGAAGGGTGCATCATGCCAGGTGTGGGAGAGATGGCCACCAATTTGGATGGCATTAAAACAGTTTGGACAACTTCATGGGAGATGAGGCTACTAGTCCTGATGACTATATGCCTCTTCCAGTATCAGTGGTACTATGCTTATGTACACCAGTCACTGGAGACTTGTGTGGCAGGGTGCTGTTGTACCCATGTCCTGTTTGTGGGTTTCCCGTGAAGACTTAGTTGGCCAGTAAGTGAACGAGATGGACACATGGTCTGATTCAGCACAACCCATAATGATTACAGTAGGGATGGTCTTTGATCTGACATAGACCCACCAGCCAATGAATGCTTCCAGACAGGGCTTTTACTGTGTAATTATCCTCCTTCATTCATGAGTTTTTACAGGGGTGCAAACAGCATTGCCTTCTGTTTGTCACCATCTCATGTTTCCCATGCTTTCATGTTTCTTTTCTCCTACCACAAATAAAACATTGATCATGGGAGAGCAGAATAGCTCCTCAATGTCTTTTGATTAGCAGCAAGGGGCACCCTGTCAGGAAGCAACTCATGTTTTCTTCCCTTTCTTTCTCCTCTGGCTGCAGAACGTGACACTGACTCAGACAGTGACCTTTCCCTGGAGGATGACCAGAGTGGTTCCTATGCTTCCACGCACTCCTCCGACAGCGAGGAGGATGAAGAGTTTGCCAGAGAGCCCTGCTGGGAGAATTTGTTGTGCCCTAACAATGAGAAACTGCCAGCCCACAGTACTCCCAAGGGTAATGTGAGAAGTGGCTTTTGGCGCCTCCAAGAACTTGGCCCTCTTCATTGTGGACAGGCGGGGTGGGGTGGAACCTACTGCAGATCTGAGTTCTGTCTCTCAACATACTGAGGTTCTGACTCACTGCTGCACTACAGTTGGTGAGATTTTAGAATCTTTGGTTTGGGCCTGTTCAGTTAGGTTTCCCTCTTACAAAGTATCATTTGGCACCCATGAGGTAACTTCTGATATTGTGAGCTCTTGCCACCTACAAAAAAATGGTGCCAGAAATCATTAACATGTGATGTTTTCTGGGTGTAGGTCCATTTCTTAAATTAGAAATGTAGGATCTGGCTAAAGGGATAAACTCTAGAGAAGTTATGTGGCTAACCAGTTCCCTATCTGCATGTTTGTGATGGCTCCAAACAGTCATCTGAGAGCCACTGAATGTTACATTCATGCTTAGTGTTGCTCTTGCTTTGATTGATACCCTGCACTTCAACAGGTTCCTGGGGGGACTTCAAAAAAGTTAAAATGATAATAAAACAAACCAAAGCACTAAAATGAGAACATTAAAATTCCACAGTATAAAGTATTGATGTAAAAGCAGTCAATGAAATTAGAAACAAAGACCAAACACCATAAAAACAATGTAAAGAGGAGTGTGGGAAACCTTTAAAGAACCTTTGTCTGGCACTAAAGTAACACCAAGGTGCCAATCAAGACTCCTTGGGTAGAACTTTCCATACTTAGGGTGCCAACATTGACAAGGCCCTGTAGTCACTCAATGCACCTCCTGTGGAGGAACACCTGAAGAAAGTGCTCTGTGGTGGAGCTTAGGACATGGTGTAGGCACATTTGGAGATAATAGAGTCTTTAGGTATCCAGGTTTTCAGTTCCATTAATACGTTATGTCCCTCCATAGTGTTTGCTTTTTTCCCTAGGACTTCACCTCTAAATCTTTTTTCACTGTTTTTTCTGGGACTCTGAAAATAATTCCAATCCAATTTCTGTTCTTGGAAATACAGTTCTAAGAGATGATATCTGGCCATCTGCCTGTAGCTTACAGGCAGAAAGCTATCAGATGATGCTTGTGCAGATATGGAGATAGGATGGAGGTGCGGGACATGGGAGAAAGGAAACATCATTTACTAAATATCTGTTTCTCATGCTGCTATTAAAACATAGGAGCAGGGCTAATAGAAAAGATGACATACCCACATTCAGCAGGAATAAATTTTCCCTGCAAGTTAGAAAAGTTGGAGTATTTGACAGTTGATCTGCAGTTTCTCTTACATATCCCGCCCAGACCTCCTCAGTAATTTTTCTTCTGTTTTTAACAGACAAGCCAACAATTCAATATTTGCATTAGGAAACAGTCTTGCTCTCTGTATAACTTGGAATGAAGCTGCCATATTTCACTTGACAAAGAATTCTACATCTGTAATCTTTCAACAACAGAATTTGATTGGATGTTCTTATTGGAATTGCTGCAACGATGCCCTTTAACAAAATATTCCGTGTATTCCAGAACAAAACTCCTTAGTTTTCTTTTATTTGTTTTATTTTTATTTATTTGATTTGTATCCTGATTTTCCACCAAGACAGCCAACAATCATAAGGAAAAAAATCAGTAAAACTTTGGTTGAAACAATAGTGAAGCAAATCATTTAAGAATAGTGTAATATTGTCTGGACCTGAATTCTCTTTGTTGCATGCATTTGACTATAAATGGCATTGCCTTGGATAGCTTCCTTTTTTGTTTCCCTTTGTGTAATTTGTCTGAGTTCATTGATGCATCCATAAAGGCAGGGAACATAGACATGCCTGGTGTTCACACCCATGCTTCTGTTTTTGCCGGTGCCACAGGGGACAGCCTCTCCGGCCCTGGCAAACCTTACTGGCCAGGAGACTTTGTGACAACCGCTAGTGAGAGTGATGGGCATGCTGGCTCAGAGAAGCTGCGTGTGGAGCCAATTGGCAAAAGTGACCGTCTGGGACCAACAGAGGAGATGCCCAGGGAGAATGGAGACACACAGACGAGGGAGAACATGTTGAGCTCACTGCCTCATCCCACTGCCCAGCCCCAGAAAGGTAAGGAGGTCTGAATCGCTAAGACCTCAGCCCTCACTCTCCTCTTCCCACCCGGTCTCAGAAGGGACTCTGTGCACCTTTGCATCCTGCAGGAAACTGAATTGCATCATGCCATTCAGTGCATATTCTCCTCCTACTAGATGCCATATTTTTCATCCTAAGATTGGAGCCAAAGTATGTTTCAAGTGTCTGGTGAATTCTCATGAAGAAGAGGATTTCACTCCAGTGCACAGGCTTCAGTGTACTGTAGAGGCCCTTGCCACTCCGTTTGACTGTCAGTGGAAAAAATGATGCACAAGTGTGCAAACAAATGTAGAACAAGTATATGCACATGTTTCTGATTGGCACACAGGTACCACAATTCAGCTTTACATAAAAATATCACCCCCAGTGTTGAAAGAAGTATGCTTCCATATACCAGTTGCAGTAGAACCCGAGTGGGAGGATGCTATGTCAATATTCCAGTTCAGCTTATGTACCCCATGTCCAGTTTTTTAAACCACCCATACAAGGGATACAAATGTCCCATCTAGAACCAGCAGTAGGGACTTGACTCTAAATATCCTGCCCTCAGGCATACTCAAGAAGAAGTACTTGCCGCCCATCAGTGAGAAGAACAGCATCCAGCGCATCCACAACAAGCTCTCCAGCTGCCGCTCAGGGATGGTGTCATCGCATGGCTCTTCAGGCAGTGATGGCAGCCGCGGTGGCGGGGCATTGCGGCCCCGCCAGACGCTACAGGAGCAGCTGAATGGCCTGACGCCCATCACCATGAGCATAAAGACTGGCACAGTGGATGAGGACTCTTCGGGCTCCGAGTGAGTATAGCTGAGCCTCCCTGCAGATGGCGGCGCTCAAGCAGGCTGCATGCACGAGCCTGCTGCCCTGTGGAGCAACTTCATCCACACCAGGCCTGGTGTCTCAGATCCTCCTGGGCTGGATTTTGCTGTCTCTTGCACCCCACTCCACCTCATTCCCCAGCTGTACCTCTCAAAAAACGTTTCTCTGTCTGTCATGACTTAACAACTCCTTAGATTCTTTGTAGCTTGTGGTATAAAACCCCTGTGTGCTTATTCAGACACTTTCATGGGGGCTTGCTAAGAATCTCTTCCTTGCTTGCCTTCATCTTTCCTACTCTTGGGCATGTTCCTTCTCCATGGCTTCTGGCCAGGAGTATAACAGCCATTTCTTCTGAATCCCCCACAGCCTGATTTGGCTTCGATTCCGAATTCCCCGCTCTGCCATAAAAACAGCTACCTTATCGCCTCTGGATAGTGGGAGGAAATGCAGGGATGGGGGCATGGGCATCAAATCCTTCTATAGCCCAGTGTGATATGGGGAAAGGAATGCGTTTTAGGGGTGAGTTTAGAGGCTAAAGTGTCTGACAAGACACCTCCTTTCCTCTGGACAAGGAACTCTGTTCCTCAATGCAGGGTTCTCCCATGTTCTTGTCAAATGCTGAGGGACTGGGCCAAAGTATTGTTTTGGGAGGGGTGTGGGGGCAGGGGGAATGAGGGGGCACTGTCCTATTCTAACTTCTTCCTCAGCTTTCTGGCACTAACCCACCCTCTCCTCCTCCTCTCCTCCCTTCTCTGTCTCTCGTTCTTTCACCACTCTCTTCAACCGCCCAGATTTCTGTTCTTTAATTTCCTCCATTAACACGTGAGCCCCAGGGGGGGTGCTTTGCTCAAACCTGCTCATGGCCATGCTCATGTGTTTGTGTTTCCCCCTGTCCCGTCTCGCTTTGTGTTTGATCACTGAGCAGGAGTGATGAAACCTCAATCTGACGCCTCATGCACCAGACTTTCTCTTGTGCTTTGGTCAGTCCGGGAGCCAGGATTGCTCTCAAACCGCAGCGAGGAATGTTGTCTCCTCCAGCCCAGCCTGGCCCGGCCCATGGAGCTGGATCCACTGTATGTAGTGCCAAATGAAAACCGGCCTGCCATCCTGGCACCAGGAGAATGGCGGGTCCCAGGAGGCGGACCTACTTGAACAGATGCACTTTGGATCATTGTAAAACAGACAGAAACCGAAAAACAAACTTGACCACCTCCAAGTCTTCAGGGATTTTCATGCTTTGTTGCCCAGTCTGGAACTGCTGCGTGTCTGGATATTTTTTCTTAACTATCAAAGTTGGGCTAAGGATCCTCAGCAGCAACCACATGCCAGGGCCTCTGGAAATGCATTACTGTGCAGATGTTTGCATATTTGACAATGGGGCTGAGCTGGGGGGTGGGGGTCAGTATGCTTGAAGATGGCTGCCACTAAGGGGGCACTGAGAACTGTAGATTTTAGCTTGAAGAGGCAAACCAGGAATGGGGCACAGTTTCTGGAAGATGCTGCTTTGGCCCCCTCTGAGCACCAGGGTGCTGCATCTTTGAATGAAAGCCCGAGGGGGCAAGAGACTTGGCTGTGCAAGGGACCTGCATGAGACCCGTGCTAAGCATTGCTTAGGGGATGGCAGGCTGACTTTGCATTAAATCTGACCACTTGTTTCCCTCTGCAGTACATGTGTATGCATCATAACCATGTCTTCTGATGATGATCCAGTCGCATGGGCATAAACACACCTTCCAAGGCAGGTGGGGCCTGTTCATACAATGTGCAGGTTAGTCCCTGTCCGTCTGGCACATAGGAAAGAGAGGAATCTGAAATTTTGGCTTTGGCATGCCCATAGAATTGGGCAGCCAGTATCTTCCAAATACTCTGGACACTGTATAAGTACTCTACATGTCCCTGCTGGGCAGCACCCTGTGCCACCTGCACTGTTATGACCCAAGGAGGTGTTTTTTTTAAAAAAAAAATAATGTTATTGTTTAATGAAGTGATAGGATTGTTAAAGAAACTCAGAGCCATTTTCCCAGGATGTTGATTGCCATCATGCTACTTATATCCATGGACTCTACAGTGTTGCATCCACTGTGGATCTCATCCCTTCTCTGGCAAGTTGCTTACTTCAGCCTTGGTGCTCCAGATTGCACAGTGGAACCAGCGGCGTAGGACCCAACAGAGGCCACTGGCAACCAAGAAAATGCTCCTCCTTGAACCATAATAACCACTTCGAACTGCTTGGTTGTGACAGCCGCTTCTCCAAGCTCTACCTGTTGATCCAGTGACTTGGCCCTGCTGGGATGCTCCAAGAAGCAGCCCACAAGGTGCTGAGCACCGTGGGTGTGGCCTGCTGAGCCATCAGTCCATGCTGCAATTATTTTCGTAGAAAATGACAAAAAGAAAAGAGCCCCACCTCCCATTCCTCTCAGCCAGTCAGCACCTGGTCCATGTGCTACTGGGCTGGGGCAGGGATGCTGCCTTGATGTCTCCCAATAGCGTCTGGCCTTCAGGCCAACAGGGCGCTGCCTTTCTGCCTCAGAAGCCTTCATTTTTCTACACTCAGCCAAGCCTGATGCCTGCTCATAATGGGGATTTTCATGCTGGGTCCTTTTGGAAAGTACTTTTTTATAATGTTCCTTGGGAAAGAGATTTTTCTGATATGGGAGTGGGGGAAGAGGGGGGAATGGCTTGGGGAGGGGTGAAGGCACTGTTTATTTTGATGTTTGTGTGTTTTTTAATTTGACCACTGCTGAAGGATGTTCTAATTTAAAGACATGAAAAGCCCTCTGGGTTACATCTTTCGCTTAATGGCGATGCTAAGTCTCCTTTACTGGGACGCAGAGTCTGATGCGCTTTACTGACTTAGCCAAGCTTTGCACAATGAAGTGTTAATTGGGACTGGACCATTGTCATGGCCTGGCTTATGAAAGGATGTAGTTCTGAAACAGAGCATCTTTTCATTGCCTGGGGAAACCTTGGCCTAATTATTACCATCTAGCCCTTTTGGGGCCTTTGTCTTTGCTGACTCCTAACCCATTCTTGGAATGTTTTAGCATAATGGGATGTGATTCTTGTAAATCTGTGTAATGTCAACCTGGCACTTTAGTAGCATCCACTGTGCTTTTCACCCACAATTGCTAAGCAGACAGCAGAGGATCAGTTCCAGCCTGTTAAATATATGGATTGATCCAGTATAGCCTTGCTTCCATTGAGTGTCCCTTGTGAGACATTTGGCTTTAGCTCAGCTAAGTGAAAGGAATTCCCCTTCCCCAAACATATACAGGAAATCAGCATTTGACCAATGTCATCCTGGAGATCTGTATTATCCTAACACTGAACACATCTTTGGGCATTTTTTGCTCCTTATACCTAAGGCAAAGTATAGGTATATATATTGAAGATCTATATTGAACTAAAGTTCAGACAACAAAGGTCTTCTTGCCTCTCACACAGCCCCCCTAGTATATTGCTTGCTGTAGTTATTCCAGCACTAAAGGCTGGTCAAGGAAACCCTGACCTTCCAGTCTTCCCTTATGTAAGACAGTGTCTTCCTTCTTGAGCTATAGGTGACTGTAAAGGGGAGTGATGCTTCCAAACTGACTAGGAAAAGGCTACATCCTCTGATTAGCTTTCAACACATGGAACAAACAGATATAAATGGAGAAATGGCCTAGAAAGAGGCAAGCAGAGAAGCTTTTCCTCTCAAATTTTGCATCACTGTCTTGTTAAGGTGGGGGCAAGTACCTTCCTGAATTTCTACTCCAGTTTTTTTATCAGTTGGCCACTCTGCAGTGCTGAAGGAAGGTTTGAGGAAGGAGGATCCACAGCTACTGTACAATGTCTTCCATAAATCCCCTCCATGAATAGAAAAGCTCAACATGTATTGTTCTCCCAGCATTTGCCAAATATTCTCTGCTAGGATCCCATAATAGGCAGCTATCCAGAAGGTGAAGCCATTCCCATTGCTAGGAAAACATCATCCTGCTACAGTTTGTCTTGCTGTGAAACCATTAAAAGTACAGGAATTTGCCAGACCAAAATGTTGGCACCTACACCCTGACTCCCTATAGTCCCTCTTCCCCTGACAGTATTAGACTGTAATGCAAATGCACAAAATAGCCTACAGTAACTTCCTATGCAAAATCCTTTTCATATGGACAACCCTGGAAAGAAGACAGACAAACTGGAAGGAAGTAGTTAGTACATAATTTGGGATATGTTCTCCAAAGCACCTATGACTTCCAGAAAATTACTCTGTCCCCCTCCCCCCAGTGAAGCATAAATTGAGGTGTGGAAAATGCCCCTTCACTAGTGACCAAGTGTTTGCAGGAAAATGCTAAACCTTTGACCTGTCAAAGATTAGAGATGGACTGGATTCTATAGGGAGCGCCATACATAAGTTTGGCTTCTGTTCTGTCACCACAATGAAGCCTTCTGAGTCAGGCTGCTGTCCACAAAGTTAGTTAGTTGGTACAGCTCTGGAGATTATGTATTTGGCATGTTTGCATTTTAATTTATTTTAATTTTTTAAATGTATGCAAATATTTACTTGAGATTGCCTGTCAATATCTGTACCATCCTAGGGGAGGAGCAGGAACAAAATGTGGGCAATAGAAGACTGTTGCTGCCATCCAGGTATTGAAGCAGTTTTCCCCAGCCTGATGTCCTGCAGACATGTTGGACTTGCAACACTTATCCTCTCAGGCAGCATGGCTAGTGGCTAACCTCCCCGCCCCAGTTGGCAGGGAGAAGGTGATGGAGAGGTATTTGTAGAATGTACAGGGAAGCACATGGGAAGGGTGCCTTATTCCGGCTGGTCACGAAAAGTTTTCCAGTTGAATAATTGGAAGAGAATGCCTACCACCTGGATCAGCTACCTGCGAATGGGATCCAGCTTAATCAGGACCCTGCTGTGCTAAATCAGGACCAGGCACCTTCTGGCCCTTTGGGTATTTTGTCCTACAGTTGACATCATCCCTCATCACTGGCTAGGGCCACTGGGAGCTGCAGGCCTAAACATGTGGAGATCCACGAGTTGCCTTCCCCTGCACTAAATGATGTATGGAAAAGGAATGATTAAACTGGAACCTGTTGTGAAGCTGCAGGTACAGAAGATGTAGACTTTATCTCTAAACCTTGGCACCGCTGAGCACATCTTTCACTTCCCAAGCAACAAAGAGCTGCCGCTGCTGTCCAAACCTGAGTGTACATCAGCGTAGGCCCAGGGCTCTCATCTGCTGTATTTGCTTCCACATAGCCAACTCCTCAATTTACCCTCCTCCCCCGCATTAGCTAATGAAGGCATTTCCAGCACAGCCCAGTCAGGTACAGTTGTCCTCCCTTTCTGCTAGCAGGGCTCCAGTGCCTTGAAGAGCTGCTTCTCATCCAGATACTCAACAGTTTTTGGGTCACTGCACCTCTGGGAGTGAAGAGCTGCACCCCTTGAATTTCTGCCTGATAAGCAGTTATGGAAGGTGTTGTAATCATGCCAGGAGAACCAGTGGCAGTCCTACTTTGATTTGAGAAGCTCAGCTGGAGCAGGGGGAGGAGAGGGCAGGGAGAGTCCTGGTAATTTAATTCTTTGAAGGAAAAAAATGTTTTAACAATGGGTGTGATGGTGGCTCTTCCCTTGGTACAAATAGTTGAAGTGTACAGATAGGGTTGCTCATGTAAATACTATAGGGTTCACCCCCTTTCCTAAATAATAAAATCATAGTTCTGTGCAGGTGGCTCCATTTCAGTGCTGTGTCCCTATCTTGTATTGGAAAAATGGGTGGTGTGTTGGGACAAGACACATTTGAACTGAACATCATAGGATATAGCAGGAAAACTGAAGTGTCTGGGTTTTCTTACCACCAGTGGGGAAAGAGCAAATGATGGAAGAGAACAGTGTGAGGCCACTGTGAAATAGGCACAGTGGGAATAATTGGGACTATCAGGTATTTTAGGAAATACA